CTCTCTCTGCCCCTACCCCTGCTTCAGCTCTTTCTCAAAATACATAGATTCAAAAAAAAAAAAAAAAGAATGTAAATTGCTACAACCTTTCCAAATGGCAATATGTATCAATAAAACCTTAAAACCCAGCATGTACTGTACTTTGATACCGCAGCTTCACTTCTAGAAACTTATCCTGAGGAAAAGAAAATCTCACAGGTGGATGCAGAGATGTAAGGAAACAAACTGATGTCTAATAAAAATTAACTGGTTAAACTATCACAGACATATGAAATGGAATCTTTTTCAGTTACTAAACTATTATAACTGTCAATATTGACACGGAAAGATTCATGATAAGGTGTTATGTTAAGCAACAAACAAACAAACAAAAATCAAGTTACAAAATAACCACATGTATAGCAAGATCTCATATTTGTTACCAAAAACTGTATATAAGAGGCCACATGCACATAAAAAGAGGGTTTGGAGGGATACTTACTGAGTTAGTGGATTTAGGAGTATTTTCTACCATAAAGATGTGTTTTTTTTTTTTTAATGTTTATTTCTGAGAGAGAGAAAGGGAGCGAGTGAGCGGGGGGGGGGGGGGGGGGGGGGGGGGGGGGGGGGGGGGTGGTCAGAGAGAGGAGACACAGACCCGAAGCAGGCTTCAGGCTCTGAGCTGTCGCACAGAGCCTGATGTGGCACTCAGACTCACAAACTGAGAGATCATGACCTTAGCCGAAGTCGGACGCTTAACCAACTGAGCCACCCAGGTGCCCTGATGTGATTCTTTAAAATACAAGAGATGTTAATGGATTAGCAGTTTGGTTCTGAAATGTACAATTAAGCTAAAAGTGAAGACAAGGTTTATCTTTATTTAGAAAAAAATATACATATTTACATAATATGTGATGGTTTATTACTCTTTAAATGGTTAGTTTTCCAACTTAAAAACTATACATATTTAGTACCAAGAAATTAGCCAGAGACTTCTTTTTCAAGCAGTGGAGTCCTACTTACTACCATCAAATGCAGTAGTACAAAAACTAAATGGATTAGCTTTTGAGTTTTGTATATTTTATATACTTCAATTTCTTTTCATTATCCTAATTACCATTTATTAAGTGAACATATCTCAAGAACTTATGTAAGCATTTGAAGTATTTAAACTTAACCTACTATTATTATTTCCATTCAACTGAAAACACTGTAGCATTGAAAAGTTAAGGGATTAGATCAAAGTCATAGACTACATGCAGTCAAACCCAATTTTCTGTAGAAATTTTACTCCTAACTCTTCAACACGCACAACTACATAATAGAAGCTGTTATTTACGGGGCTTTACACTGGATTCTGAAAGAAAGGAGTGAAGGTCATATCTTATGAGGATGAAAATGAAATTGGAAAACATACCAATTTTCTGTATTTTTTGTAAACCAGCTTTTACAGCATTATGTTAGGCTGATAGCGTGTAAAATGTTATTTTGAGATAGTGATAACACAGTAATTTACCGTGACACTGTGACTTAAATTTACATTTTGAGTCTCTAAGCAAATATTTTGATAGGAGCCTTCTTTCCAGCTCAACCACCTGGTGCATTCTACACTGGGGAAAAGTTCTCTCACTTTCGGAGCCAACCAAACTTACAGCAATGACTGGGCATAGTAAATGCAGCTCCTAATTTATAAAATCAGTGACCACTAAGTAATAAGATTCATTTTACAAGGAAAGATTTTATTTTTTAATGTTTATTTGTTTACTAGAGAAAGAGAGAGAGCATGCACGCACACAAATTGGGGAGTGACAGAGAGAGAGAAAGAGACAGAATATGAAACAGGCTCCAGGCTCTGAGCTGTAATAGCAGAGCCCTCGAATTCATGAACCATGAGTCCATGACCTGAGCCAAAGTCCAACCTTTAACCAACTGAGCCACCCAGGGGACCTAAGAAAAGAATTTAAAATGTGGCCTCACTGTAATATTATTCACTCAGAAATATATTTTTTTAAATTTTTACTTATTTATTTTTGAGAGAGGGAGGGGCAGAGAGCACGAAAGAGAGAATCCCAAGCAGGCTCCATGCTGCCAGCATAGAGCCCCATGCAGAGCTCAAACTCCGTAACCGTGAGATCATGACCTGAGCCAAATCTAAGAGTTGGACACTTAACGCACTGAACCACCCAGGAACCCATTCACTCATAAATATTTAACAGAGTTCTTCTAGGCACTGTTTTTCTTTAATGTTTGTTTATTTTTGAGAGAGAGACTGAAAGAGACAGAGTATGATCAGGGAGGGGCAGAGAGAGAGAGGGAGACACAGAATCGGAAGCAGGCTCCAGGCTCCCAGCGATCAGCACAAAGCCTGAGGCGGGACTGGAACTCAGGAATGGTGAGATCATGACCTGCGCCACCCAGGCACTCCTTCTAGGCACCAGTCTAATGGAGATAACAATGATGAGCCAAGTCTCTGCTCTTTTGAAAGGTATATACAGGTGCATTAAATATCTGAAGGTCATAGTCCATTTTTTATTTGCAATCTAAGGTATAAAACTAACTGTTAGGGGCTGCTGGGTGGCTCAGTGGGACCCTTGATTACAGCTCAGCTCATGATCTCAAGATTTGTGAGATCAAGCCCCCCAGTGGAGTTCTGTGCTGACAGCAAGCAGCTTGCTTAGGCTTCTCTTTCTCCTTCTCTCTCTGTCCTTCCTCACATACTCCCTTGCTCCCTCTCACATGTTCTCTCTCACGCTAAATAAATAAACATTAAAAAAAAAAAAACTTTTTCTATTACTTAAAAAAATTTGCTATCCACTTCAGGACATGGCCTTAGGAGGTACTCATCAAGACGGAAGCATAATCCCAGCTGTTCTCCAACTTGACTACTGCGGGAGAAATTCCTGGAGAAATTGTTTAAAAAACTGATTCTGGGGGGGCACCTGGGTGGCTTAGTCGGTTAAGCGTCTGACTTTCGCTTAGGTCATGATCTCGCGGTTCGTGAGTTCGAGCCCCACGTCAGGCTCTGTGCTGACTGCCAGCCCAGAGCCTGGAGCTTGTTTCAGAGTCTGTCACTCCCTCTCTCTCTGACCCTCCCCTGCTCATGCTGTCTCTCTCTCTCCTAGAAATAAATAAATAACTAAATAAATAAATAATCCAGCTTTAAAAAAAAAAAAAAACTGATTCTGGGGCCTCACCTCCCGGAGTGTGATTCTGAAGTGAAATGACAGAAAAACCTGTATTTTTAACAGGAACCTCACTTAATGCTGATCTATGTGATCTAAGGTCTGTACTCTGAGAAACCCAGGAGAAAGTGAAGCCAATCAGAAGAAAATGATCATTCAGAAGGGAATAGCTGTATGGCAGTGGGATTTGAACTAACATAAACCCAACCCCCATGTAATTAGTTCTGTATAATTCACAAATCTAGCAAATTAAAAAGATGAGAAGAATGGAGAAATTTGCCAGCATCGCCTCAATGTCTTATGGGAGATTTGAATTTGCCTCAATCTAGGCATTTGGTGAAAAGAAGAACTTGAGTTCTATCAACAGAAGAATTAGGCATTAGGAAAAAAGAAATTTCTAGTCAAGTGCAAAAAAAAATGCTAAGAGGGACAAACATTTCAGGAAACTAACTTGCTACCACTCATTTTATGCCCTATTTCACAATGCTTAGTATCTGAACAATCCACAGGGTTCCAAAGTACATCAAAAATTTGTTCATTTCCTCTCTGACTCAAGCAGAATAATAATAATTGTGAAAGTGTCCCAGGTCTCAGCAATTTCAACTGATACACTCTTAGATAAAGAAATACCTTTTAAAAAAAAAGTTCTACCAGAAATGTTCCTTATTGGAGCTACTTGAAGTAATTTTAAATAGTTTTAATGCCACCACTAAATTAGTGTTCCTCATTTCCAATTTAGATTACTTGAAAATTCCTGGGTTCTTTACCAATCTCCTGCAGAAAGAATTCTCTTCATCATTACAAATATGTACATTTTTAGTTATAAGCAAACACCTATCAGTACAACATAAATAGTCCAAGTAAACTAGAAAAAAAATGTTAAAAATAGTATTTTGTTCCCTGAGATAGACAGAAATCCTAACCCTAAAGCGGGGGGGGGGGGGGGGGGGGGTTAAGCCTCTGCACCTTAAGTTACCTGAAAATAAAGGCATCCAGACAAACACATTCCTGCCATTTTAGACGTTAAGAGCAGCACTTCACAAACCAGCTGGCCTGCTGGGTCCTGGCCCCAGTTCCTAACCTCAGATCCTGTCCACTACATAATCCATGAGATCTCAGAGCCTGTTCTACATCCGTTCAAAGGGATTAGTAACACTGCCTCTCCGTTAACGGAATTGAGATTTTCCAGATGCATTCGTTTGTACAGTATTTGTTTTTATTATCTGTTCTTTTTTTATTGCACTTGCTTTTATTATTTGCACGTCTGACCACGGACGTAGCAAGAGTAGGATGCCAGGAGATAAGCACAAAGAAACGCATCTGTCCGGAGTGCGCATATATTTAAAATTCCAGGCTGGTGCTGCCTTCAGAATGTCACTGACGATGACAAAGTTCTAAAGGAAACTTTCATTTTAAGAGGCTATCAAAATGCTCCAAAGCCTCCCACCCAACAGAAAAAGACGAGAATTTATTGCTTCCAAAGCAAAGCCTTCCTTGGTCTGAATCATAACAAAAGATGCCCGGAGGAAATGTTATCTGCGAAGTTGTTTTCTAATCCAAAGGCAAACAGAAGTAAAGGAAGGTGCAACCCATGCCTACCAGGTTTCCTTTTCCTGGGGATTCTTATTACATTTCCCCGTTCAAGCAAGAAGGGACCGCAATTGTGCCTCGGGTCCACACCATAAAACCGCATCTGTGCGTAAAGCAGGGAAGGAGAAGCGGCAGACACCGGGGACGCGCTCCCACCGACCAGGGAGCCGCTTTCTGTTAAATGCCATCAGAGTCAGCCGCGCCAGGACGACTTAGGGCCAAACGGCATTGACCGCCCTTCACTGACAGGGATTTTGCAGGCACACGACAGAGAAAAGGAGATGAGCCGGGGACTCGAGGCCCGAAGGAGAGGCGGGCGGCGCGATGCCGCTCCCCGCGAGCTCCGGATCCCCGGGCGGCTGGCGGGGAGGCGAGGCTTGGCCGGCCCGCCGCGCTCAGGCGGCGGAGGGCAGCGAGGTCAGCCCGGGAAGGGCCGACCGCCCCCACGCCCCCCGGGGAGGGAGGGACCCCGTTCGGCCGGCCGGGACTGCGGATGCCCATTCAACCCCAAGCCCGTCCGGCGGCCGCCACCCCTTCGGCCCGCCGCGGCGTCCCGGCCTCCCGCCGCCGGCCAGCCCGCCGCCCCGCCGCCGCCTCCGGGAGGCTGGGGAAGGACGAGGCGCAGGGGCGGCCAGTGCCGCGCCTCCCGGGCGCGCGGCAAAGGCTGCAGGGCGGCCCGAGGGACGCGCGCCGGCCCGAGGGACGGGCGCCCCGGGCGGCCATCGCGCCGACCCCCGCGCAGACCCCCGCCCCCGCCGCCTCCCCGTCCAGGCCGCCGCCGTCCAGCCAGCTCCTCACCTCATCTCCAGGCGGGTCCGCGCTGCCGCCCCAGGGACAAATCAGTGCAGCTCCCTCGCGGCGGAGAGGGACGCAGGAGCCGCAGCCCGGCACACCATCCCCGCCCGCCTGCCCGCCTCTCCGCGCGTCCCGGAGCCCGCTCGGGATTCTCCCTCGCGAGCCGCCGTACTACGGAGCAACCAAGCTGCGCTCCCTCCCCGCTCCTCCGCTCTTCTCTACCTCCTTCTTTCCCTCCCTCGCTCCCTCGCTCCCACCTATCTCCTCATCTCCCTGGGTTGCCTCTCCCGCCCCCATCCACCTCTCCATCCCCGCCCACAGAGGGGTGGGAACCAACAGTCCGCCAATCCGAAGAAGGGGCCCGCACCTCCTTACCGCCCCCTACCGCTATCCCCGCCCACCACAAGAACGGGAACGGCCGGCTGTAAAAAAAAAAAAAAGGAAGAAGACGGAGTGACAGCCAAATCAACCAATCATCAGGCGCAAAGGAGGCGGGGATTAGGACTCCCTCTTCTCCCTGCCCTCTTCCCAGAAGGCGTAACCCGAGGCTTTTGGTCAGGGATTTCCCTGACGGGGTTTATGGAGGTTTTGTTCCAAGGTGTTGGTGCATCTCTCCGTTGTCGTGAGAGGCAATAGTTAGGATGCACTCAACTAAATTAGTTACAAGAGGTTTTAAAGGAGAGAACAACGCGGAGGCGAAAAAGAGGCGGGCCACACTCCAAGGAAGGTGGTAGGGAAAACGGTTGGAATGAGGAAGGGTGTGGTCTTTAACAGAAATTTGCATAAAACGGAACCTATCCGGGAGACTACAATTTCGTCCATTTACTGGTAGCCCCTGGTGCGACGCTTCTCCGCCTAGCAGAGCATTTCGGGAGATGTAGTTCTAAGTTCGGTTGCTATGGCGTTCTCCACAGCCTCCGGTTCAGGACTGACGACCGGCCTGACCAATGGGAGCAGCGTCTGGGCCAGCGGGGGCGGGCTCTCTGTAAAAGGACTCCAAGGTGGCGGTGGCGAAGACGCAGGCGGTTGGGGCGGCTCGGAGGCAGGTGAGCCCCGGGACCCAGTTTCTGGGTCTTGGGAAGCGGGGCCGTGGGCTTTGGAAGCTTTGCGGAACTGTGCAGAACTGTGCGGAACCTGGGCTGAACGGTGGTTCGCGTTGCACCCCAACCCCAGACGCCCTCGGGTCCAGGCCTAGCTTAGCCGCGGCGGCTGAGGAGCGGGAAAGACTTGCCTGACGATTTCCTGGTCCTTACAGGTTTTGATTGTAGGTTTCATCTCAGTTCGCATCTCTCTCTACATTTATGGAAACAAAAGTCTGGCAGTTCCCTTCCTCTGTACCTCCCAGGCTGAATTTTTGCCCCCTGCTTTCTTTCGGTTCCTGTAATTTTGAGTTTTCCTTTCTCCCATACTCTTTCTCTGCTACCACTTTTTCCTCCTTCACTTTCCTTTTTCGGTGAGCAATCACCTAAAGCAAGGGTATTCGCATTTTATGTGATTATACGGCCAGATTTGCCCTCTTAGGATAAACAGCAAAAAACAATGGAGCGATGCGTGAGAATCATCTCGGTACCATGTTGAAGTGCAAATGCTGATACCAAAGGTCTGGGCAGAGCCTGAGAATCTGCATTTCTAACAAGCTTCCCCGGGTGCTCCTGGTCCACGTTATGAGTTGCGAGGCCCTAGCGTGAGCTCGGCCCGGTACAAATATAATGCGAGGCACTTAATTTTAAATTTTCTTGCAGCCACATTAAAAAACATGAAAAGAAACACTTGTGATTAATTTTAACAATATGTTTCATTTAACCCAATATATCCAAAATTTACCATTTCAACGCATAATCGAGTACTTTCAAAGTGAACTATTATAAACTATTTAAAGTATGCTGTACCCCCAATGCGGAGCTTGAACTCACAATCCCCCCAAATCCAGAGTCCTGTGCTCTGCTGACTTTTTTTTTTTTTAAATATCCTCTTTGAAATCTAGTGTGTACTTTACACTGATGAGGCATCTCAGTTTTGACTGGACATAGTTCAGATGTTCCTTAGCCACCTGTGGCTAGTGACTGCTGTTACTGGACAGCGCCAGTTTAGATGATATACAGTTGCCCACTTGAGAAATTAAAAAGTGTTAAAGATGGGGCACCTGGGTGGTTTAGTCAGTTAACGGTCCAACTTGGACTCAAGCCATGATCTTAGATTGGTGAGTTTAAGCCCGAGCCCGGAGTCTGGCTCTGTGCTGACAGCTCAGCCTGGAGCCTGCTTCGAATTCTCCCTCCCTCCTTCTCTCTCCTTCTCTCTCCTTCTCTCTCTCTCTCTCTCTCTCTCTCTCTGCACCGTTTGCCTGCTCAGGCTCTGTCTCTCAAAAATAAATAAACATTTTAAAAAACCTTTTTTTTTTAAACGGTGTTAAAGATCAAAGGATTGCATGTGCCCAAACCCTCTGCTGCTCTGTGAGATGGGCCTCAGAACAACTTTAGAGACTTTCTCTGCCCAATTTGCAAAAATAATGGTAAAAATAGTGAATACTTTTTGAAGAGTTATTTTGTGCCAGGTGTTGTACTGAGTTCTTTGCATATACTGTTTAATCCTTACAGCAACCCTTGGAGGTAACTACTATTATCTCTATTCTGTAGATACAGAATCTAAGACCGAGAAGGGTTAGAATTAAATAGCCTCAAGTCATACAGCTAGTCAGTGGGAGAACCAGGATTCAAACTCGGATCAGTTTTGACTTATAAATTCTGTCAGCCTTTGTAGTGTATAATTTTTATTGTTTAATCACTAATTTCCCTTCATTGATGCTCTGCGCCAGTTGATGGCAGATCAAACATTCGATTTGAAACAGAGGGTTCCCTTATACAAGTTCAATTTGCCTGTCAGTTGCAGTGAAATATTTTGATAGTTCCTCCATTTTTTTTTTTTTTTAAGATATAGCTCAACATGGGGCTTGAACTCAGTACCCCAAGATCAAGACTGACATGCTCTACCGCCTGGCCCATCTCCATACTGTATTATAAATAATAATAAAAGATACTACTTCCCCCAGTAGTATATCCTGGGCAGTAATGTGTCTTGACTCATTTGTGTTCCACTCTGAAGAAAGAGAATGGGAAAGCTTGAAATTCTTAAAATGTTTCACTGCGGAATCACGGTGTATTTTGGTTTTGTTTGTGGTTAAATCTTTTTGTTATTATTCTTAAAAATGAATGTTTTGTTGCTCCTGTGAATTTCACATAGAATATTTCAAAGACAACTTTATGATTTTTCTAGGTTCACCAAACAGTACTGCCCTGAGCGAAGGAGAGTTTTAAGATTAGAAGAGCAAAAATACACATATGAGGGGCTCCTGGATGGATCAGTCAGTTAAGCGTTTGACTCTGGCTCAGGTCATGATCTCGCTGTTTATGGGTTCGAGCCCCACGTCGGGCTCTGTGGTGACAATTTGGAGTCTGGAGCCTGCTTCAGATTCTGGGTCTCCCCTCTCTCTGCCCCTCCCATTCTCATGCTCTGTCTCTCAATAATAAATAAAACGTTAACAAGATTTTTTTTAAAGATAACGCATACTAAAATAAGATCTTTTGCTAAATATTTCTATTTTTATATATTGCAAGAAATATACATCTTGTGAATTATTTTCTCTTTGTCATGGATTTATTAGTAAATATTTAATCAAAGTTACAGTTCCCGTCTTGCTTCTGAAGCAAGAAATGGTTTCTTAAGGACCCTATAGTGGATTGGAAAATTAAATAAGCATTTACGAACAGCAATAATGTTAAAAAGAAGATTGTTTTAATCAATTTGATAAGGGAGTGTGGTAGAGGTTTAGAAAGGATCCATCAATTGCTTCGCTCCCTCAGTACCCACCATCTGCATTGCCCCAGTGTCACATGGTTGAGCTAGCATAAAAGGGAAAAAGGTCCTTTATCACATCACACCATTGTCACAATCAGAAGAGGCCGTCGCTTTAATATGGTCATCATATTCCCCCATCCTCTTCAGCTGATTCTCGAACCTTCTGAAGTCACTGTAAATATGTGTCCAGCCTCTGTGTAAATCCTTGCAGTGATAGGAGCCATGCAACCTAATGAATTTTCCTGTTTTAAATTAGACACCTAAAATGTGAAAGTAGAAAGTTCTTGTAACACATGTTATTAACTAGAAAAACGTTTCTGGATTTAGCCACATGTGAGGCCTCTCACAGCCCCTTGTGTTCCCATCTGGTCACTTGTTTGCAGCTAGTGCAGGTGTATGCAGCAAAACACCTGGGTACTAATTGTTTCTGCAGTGTCCTTAGGCTATACAGATTCCTAGAGGTTGTTGCCTACAGAATGCAGAGATGTCCTCTAATTGTTACAACCATACATTTACCTCCCTCTTTAAAAACCAGAGCTGGTTTTATCTAGTTAGGACTACCATTCTCCACAACCTGCAAAGTAATGACATTGAACCAGACCTCCAACTAGTTACTTTGATTATGCTAATAATACAGAGAAAGAATCCAAAGTGGGCTCCAGGCTCCAAGCTGTTAGCACAAAGCCCAGTGTGAGGCTTGAACCCAAGAACCATGAAATCATGACCTGAGCCAATGTCAGATGTTCAACCAGCTGAGCCACCCAGACGCCTCTGATTATGCTAACCATATTTTTAAAGTATTTTTTAAATATTTGGGCATTTGGTTTGACATATTTCCTTATCTGATATGTGGCTATATATGCAAATTCCCACAGAAGAGCAAGACCATTGTTAAAACTTAATTTATTTTAAAGAAGGCATTTTTCTGGAGTCACTTTTTTTTAATATTTATTTTTGAGAGAGAGAGAGAGAGAGAAAGCGTGAGCAGGGGAGGGGCGGGGGGAAGGACAGAGGATCTGAAGCAGGCGCTGTGCTGACAGCAGACAGCCCAATGCTGTAGCTTAAACTCACAAACCATGAGGTCATGACCTGGGTTGAAGTTGGACATTTAACTGACTGAGCCACCCAGGTGCCCCTGTTAAAACTTAAGTCACCTTTTCAGTAGAACCGAAGAGTTACCCCTTACAATCGAGTTGGCTAGGATAATAATCCTGTGTACCAGTCCTGGCATGATAATAAATATATGGGGCCACATTTTAGATTTGACTTCACCTTTTTTCTGTGGTTTAGCTGCTTGCCAGTATACCTTTGATTTTCTTAAAAAGCAGGTTAGAAATACTGTAACTGAATCCTGACCCCAGGTGGCCCCAATATTGCAAATTTGGTGCTGGAGACTAATAGAAATTTGAGCACATAAGAGTTTGGACTTCCAGGAATTAGGTTTTCCATAGAGTAACAGATGACTTGGGTGAAGGAAAGAAATGAAGCCACTGGGCGGTGGCCAAAGACATTGTGATGTTAGCACCTCACTTGTGGTAACACCCAGCAAAACCAAAGGTAAACAGGGGAGCCAGGACTTCATGAAGGAAGAAGGAAACTTTATGGTCAACAACTTAATATAGAGGAAGGAATTATGATGGACTCTAAAATATCCTTGATGACTGAGGACTGGTACCACAAAATCTTGTTTTGGAGAAAGTGACTTCAGTTTTATGCCTGTTGAATTGGAAATAGATCTGAAACTCTCAGAACACTTTGGGTTTGAGAGTATAGAGGTTTTTACAGTTATTTACAATTATTAAAGATGAGCTCCTTGAGGGATTAAGTGTTGCGGAGGAGCAAATGGAGCTCATGTTGCTGTTATAATAAAATGGAATCATGTGAAATGTCTCCCCACTGATTTTTTTAGAATTCCCTTTAAAGATCAGTATTTTTTAAATTGCTTTTTTGAAGTATTCTACTCAAGTGTTTCTTCTTTGCACCAAACATTATTTAGTTGTTGTTTTTTTTTAAGATTTTATTTTTAAGTAATCTCTATACCCAGCACGGGACTCAAACTCATCAAGAGTCACATGCTCCTCCAACTTAATTTTTGCTGCTCCAGATTTTTTAATGGGTTTATTGTGCAACCATTATAAAAATTTAAAGTCTTAAAAACATAATTCTCAGTCTGTGGACTTAGGTCAAATATGTTTAAATTTTGATATACCTTAGGGTACCTGGGTGGCTCAATTGGTTAAAGCATCTGACTCTTGGTTTCGGCTTGAGTCATGATCTCACAGTTCGTGGGTTTGAGCCCTGCTGCGGACTCTGTGCTGACAGTGCGGAGCCTGCTTTGGACTCTCTCTTCCTCTCTCTCTCTCTCTCCTCTCTCTCTCTCTGCCCTTCCCCCACTCACGCTCTCTCAAAATAAATAAACTTAAAAAAAATAAAAATCTGATGTACCTGGAAAAATATAAAATCTTAATGCTTCTTATAGGGCACATCAGCCTATGTTTTTAATCAGGTTTACTTTCGTTTAAGAGTTTTATGTACCACTTTTTCACAAAGTTTACAGTAGAACATGCCATTCTTGGAAATGGCATGATAAATATTATAGCCTTTATTTTATATTTTTATTTAATAAGATATCCATTTTATTTTCTGTGTGCACTTATCTTTACATTCAACATACATCAAATAGTGGACTAAGTGTTCCATTTAGTCTAGACCAGTGCCTAAGAAACTATACCATTTTCTTAGTTTCAGAATGAAGTATTCCTTCTTGTCTGCAAAACAACTAAGTTAGCATTTCTTCAATTTTCTTCTGGCCACTTTTCTAAAAGCACTTTTCTTCCTTCACTTTGTAACTTTGAGAATAATTTTCTTCCCACATGGTTTTTTTTTGGACCAGCTAAGTCTGGAAGCACCAATTAGGATGATCTGATTAAAACTATTAGCATTATTATATATATAGTGTTTGCTTTAGGGGAAACTAGGGATACAAGCAAGCAGTTATCTTACAGGGTCTTTGAAATTGGGGTGCATGCAATATGAGGTCCATGTGACTGCTGATCTGGGAAACATGCCCTATGTTTTAAGACACAGCAGACAGGGGCGCTGGCTGGCTCAGGTGTAGGAGCGTGTGACTCTTGATCTCCAGGTTATGAGTTCAAGCCCCACATTGGGTGTAGAGGTTACTGAAAACAGTAAATAAACTTTAAAAAAAAAAAAGTTACCATGGGCGGGAAAACAGTGGCCTCCAGAATAACAAGAGATGCTTTGAAATCACAGTATTGTTACGTAATTGTTCCGCTTCTCAAAAGGGAAATACTAGTAGCACCAGACTGAGTAGGAGCAGCAATTTCTTTATTTCTTTAATAATAATAGACACTGATTCTCCCAAGCTATAGCTGGGAAAACCTACTAGTTAGTAAAAGAATAAAGCAAGGTTTTGTTTGTAAGTACGACATGACATCCGGAAGCATAGAACAGATGGAGTAGATTAAATGTGACTGGGGGTGATTTCAGAGAAGGGATAGGACTTGAGTTTCATTTAGTTCGCAGAATCTGTAGAGTAAGTTCAGCACAGTCTCAGAGAACCAGCAAGGAAGCCCGGAGACAGGGGTGGCCAGATGGTGTGGAGTCATGCTGACTCGCTCAGAGAGTATGTGTTAGAAAAATGGAAGTAAAGTAGATTAGGGACAGTGAGTATGCATTTTAGGCAGCCTTGAAAGCTAGGCAGAAGAGGGTTCTTTAAAGTTGTAGGGAATGTGTAGCTGCTCTGTCTATGCTCAGGTCTCTCCCCCGCGCCCCGCCCTCCCCCCCAGCATACACACTGACCTACACAGCCTGCAACCAAAGGATTAGAATTAACATCAGACCTAGTTCAGCCTATTTTTCTATACTTTATTGATACATGCTACATGTATAGTCTCTCTCTTTTTTTTTTTTTTTTAAGTTTATTTATTGAGAAGAGAACAACAGCAAGTGAGCAAAGTGAGCGTGAGAGCCTGGGAGGGGCAGAGAGAGAGAAGGAGAGATTCCCAAGCAGGCTCTGTGCTGTCAGCATAGAGCCTCACTGAGGGATGAATCCCACGAATCAAACAAATCATGAGATCATGATCTGAGCCAAAATGAGGAGTTGGCACTTAACCTACTGAACCACCCAGCTGCCCAGCTGCCTATATAGTTTCTATGTGTCTTGAATGTGTTGTGTCTTGAATTTCTGTTAGTTCCAGTGTTTAGTTATCACATTCTAAAAAGCAGCAACCATTGCCAAACTACTCAGTAAAGACCCTTTCTATGGGTCCATTAGATCCACTAAGATTCAACATACAGAGTCAGCTTCATGGTTTGGAACGTATGCAGTCACACTGGACTTGGCTCTCAAAAGGAAGCCATGCTTGGTTTAATTCTCTTCTATCACCATCTTGAAATTTTAATAATTTCTAGAGAAGGCTCCTTGCTCTTTCATTTTGCAGTGAGCTCTGCAAATTACACAGCCAGTTCTAACAAGTACTTAATAATTATCAGTTCTGAACTAAAGGATATAGGATTCTAGTCTTTTTTTTTTTTTTTATTTCAGAGAGAGAAAGAGAGAGAGAGACAACATGAGCAGGGGAGGGTCAGAGAGAGAGGGAGACGCAGACTCTGAAACAGGCTCCAGTCTCTGAGCTTACAGGATTCTAGTCTTAAGGGACATATCTAAGGTTAACAGCTCAATAAAAAACCATTAGCTGTAATGGTCAAGAGAAATGGCATTGGAGTGGGTAGCACCTGGTCTGGCTCAGCGCTGGCCCAGCTGGTGCTATTACACACTGGGTATATACTTTCACTTCTGGAAGACTCGTTTACCTCATCCATAAAATAAACACAATAATATACTCTCTCCAGAAAGTATGCTCAAGAATGTTCTTAACAGGATAGTTTGTAAAAGGCCCAAACTGGAAACAATCAAATGTCTGTCTGTAGTGGGATGGAGAAATAGTAATTTATTCATACAAAAGAATGTAGTGTAATAAGGATGATGAATGAACTACAACCATAGGAAACAACATGGATGATGCTTACAAACATAATAGAGAAACAAACAGACATGAAGGAGTATGATTTTACTTCTAGAGAGTCAAAAACAGACAAAAGTAATCTGTGCTACTGAAACTTGGGGTGTTGAGTATCCTTAGGGGAAGGTGGTGACTAGAAGCGGAATAAGGGAGCTTCTGGAGTTCTAGTGAATGTTGTGTTTTGTTGCTGTGACATGGCCATATTCATTTTGTAAAATTCAGTAAGCTGTACATTTAGGATCTGTGAACTTTGTATATTTTATACCTCTATAAAATTTACATGTTAAGAAATAGTCTTGGGGCACTTAGATGGCTCAGTCAGGCGAGCATCCAACTCTTGATTTCAGCTCGGGTCATAATCCCAGGGTCACTGGATGGAGCCCAGCGTCAGCCTTCACCCTGAGAATAGAGCTTGCCTAGGATTCTCTCTGACCCTCTCCCCAGCTCATGAGCATATGCTGTCTCTAAAATAAAATAAAAATAAAATAAAATATAAAAATAAAATGTCTTGCCATACAATTACAGTTGACCCCTGAACAAGTCTGGGTTTAGGGCAACCAACCCCCTGAGCAGTTGAAAATCTGCATATAAGTTTTGACTCCCAAAAACTTAACTACTGTTCAGTCAGCCTGTTGACTGAGAGCCTTACTGATATCAACTGATATTTTGTATGTTATATATTTTATATTCTGTATTCTTATGATAAAGTAAGCTACAGAAAATAAAATGTTATTAACAAGGTCGTAAGGAAGAGAAAATACATTTACAGGACTAGACTGTAAAAAAAAAAATACACATATAAATGGACCTGCACAGTTCGGACTTGTTTGAGAGTCTGCTGTGTTATAAAAATTAAACAATTGTGGAATCCTTAGAGATGCTTCCAGAAGTTCACAAAATATAGGCTTAATACTGCCATTAAAAGGTTTATAAACTGATACAGAAGAATCAGGGGTATGATTTTAGTGAGTAGTCTTAACTTCACTTTTTGCTTTTTAATGGTCTTTTTCTTTAAGACTTTGACAGCTCTTTAAATACTACCTTTGGTAATTAAAATTGAGCTCTGTGGCCCTTGGAAAAAAATTTTTTAAGTACATCTAATAATTTTTACTGAATAGCAAAGTGAAATTAAGCACCTGCTCACCTTTGTGTGTGAAAGGTTGAATGTAATCCCATTCTTAGTAAGACATGTACCCAGAGATTGTTGCATATTCTCTTATTTGATCACTGTAGGGAATTATTATCTAAATTTTTATTTGAAAACTACATTTATAGTTGGCATTTTATCCTTTGCCAGCATTATTTTGCTTTCTTTAATGTTTGTTTGTTTATTTTGAGAGAGAGAGAAAGAGGCAGAAAGAGAATCACCAGCAGGCTTCGCTCTTAGCACAGAGCCCGATGCAGAGTTCAATCTTACAAACTGAAATTGTGACCTGAGGCTCCCTTAAGAGTCAGATGCTTTAACCGACTGAGCCACCAAGACTCCCCAGCAAGCATTATTTTTCAATTTTTGCTTTCATTTGGTCTGGAAGATATTTTATTTCATATTTATATATAAATATATATGTTTTTCTTTTTTAGGGGACTATGAAAGGCTTATATTTTCAAAAGAGTTCTACAAATGAAGAAATAACATTTGTATTTCAAGAAAAGGTAAGAAAATGGTTTGATTTTTTAAATTAAACAGGGTAGTTTATTTCCTATATGTAATAGAATCAATTTTAAATAACCTGTTATAAGTTATTTTAAGTACAACTAAGTGAGAGAAAATTACTTAAATGAAACTTATGATGTCCTTTAATCTTAGGGGAAAATGGCAGTCCATATTATAGTATAACTATTTTTTTTTAAAGAGTTGCAAAAGAATTTTTAGTCCTCAGGTTGGTGGTATAAAACATAATTAGGAAAACAGCAACCTTGATAGTCTTTTATGTTGCATAATTAACCCAGCATATTCAGAATCCCACAGTAAAGCAAGTATTCAGATTGTAGCCATGTTTCAGAAAATATTTCTCTCATGTTGTGAAATGAAAGAAGGGAAAAGCATTGTTTTCCATGCTAATTTCTGAGCTTTGCAACATTAATTCGCTAAGCTCTAAATTGTCTCTCATCTTTAACCAAGAACAGGTAGTAGAATTTTCATATCTTGGTGATTGTTTGAAAGGCTTGTAGCAAGCCAGAATCATTCCACTGTCAACTTAGGATCCAAAACTAAGTGCTATATTTATTTCATGGTAGTAATAAGAATTTCTAGATCATGAACACAACCCAGTTTTTCTGTTATTTTTCACTAACTCCAAAATTAAAGTTAATTCAGGAGTCTAAATCTCAGAGAGCTTGGTTTCTACCATTGAGGATGAATCTTTCAGAGGTTTGATGGGCTCTTGGGAAGAATCCTTTACAGGTTCAGGGGCGCCTGGGTGGCTTAGTCGGTTAAGCGTCTGACTTTCACTTAGGTCATGATCTCGCGGTTTGTGGGTTCGAGCCCTGCGTCGGGCTCTGTGCTGACTGCCAGCTCAGAGCCTGGAGCCTATTTCAGAGTCTGTGTCTCCCTCTCTTTCTGACCCTCCCCTGCTCACGCTGTCTCTCTCTCTCTCCTAGAAATAAATAAAAATTAAAAAAAAAAATTTTTAAATAAAAAAAGAATACAGGTTCATAGAATCATTAGTAAAATCCACATATTCATCGATAGTATTGAATATCTTCATAATATCACCAAATACTATCAAATCTGAAACTTAAAAAGAAATACTCCCAGAGTATTGTGTTCACGTCAAATAAAACACTTATCTCTTTGGTAGGTTGTAAGAGGGGTTACACAAGTAGATATTCTACCTAGCTTTTGATCTAATTTGGGGAAATACCAGGAGTTGAGGGGAGTATATTAATTATTGGTGCCAGGATATGGTTATTTGGCAGAAGTGATAATATATATATTTTTTAAATATTTTTTAAAAGTTTTTTAGTATTTTTATTCATTTTTTGAGAGACAGAGACAGACTGTGAGCAGGGAATGGACAGAGAGAGAGAGAGAGAGAGGGAGACACAGAATCTGAAGCAGGCTCCAGGCTCTGAGCAGTCAGCACAGAGCCCAATGCAGGGCCTGAACCCACAAACAATGAAATCATGACATGATTCGAAGTGGACCACTTAACCAACTGAGCCACCCACATGCCCCAGAAGTGATAATATATTTAATAAATAATATAGGTGGATGACATTGAATGCCTGAGTGTAAACAATTATTTGCCGTTGAAGTTATATCTAGCTGTGGAATAGAGAGGTAATTAAATGCGATTAAGTTTGTATTTCGACCCCAGAATCCCATGTGGCAGCTGAAATGTCTAAGACAGATATTAAATAAGCTAAGTTAAATAAGAGATACACAAATGACACTAAAAAACTTCATTTATACCATTAAGAAAATTCTAAAATCAGTGAAGGCTTATATATCATGTGCATAAGGATATCCCTGTACATGCAAAGATTTGATGCTTTGAGGTTATTTAGATTCAAAAAAAGTATGGTATTTACTCTACTTTGTTATCCTAAAAATGTATTGCCTATGCATATACCCATGTTGGTATCTATTCATTTTCAAAATAACTACCCTACCTACGGCTTTTAAAGCATTTTATCCCAAAATTCCCTTTCTACTTTTTTTATTCTATACTCTTGGATACTTGTTTGTGGCTTTTTCAGTTAACTTAGGTATAAGATTTGGGATGGAGTCTGTTTAGTTTTGTTCAATTATGTATGGTAGTTTTCACAACATAAAGGCATTTTCTCATAAGAATGTTATCATTTGGTTCTAGGAAAATCTTCCTGTTACAGAGGATAACTATGTGAAACTTCAGGTTAAAGCTTGTGCTCTGAGCCAGATAAATACAAAGGTATGATACTTTTATTTTGACCAAAAATCAGATGAGAGTGTCCTGGTATATTTAGTGTACAAATAAATAATGATTACTGACTTCTGAGTGCCAAGAAATTAACACCCTTAGAAGACTAAAACGGCTAGGGAAAAAATGTAATGTGAATTTGTGTGTTTCTGTATTATTATCTAAATGAAGTCCTACATTTTATTATATGAAATATTTTATAAGCTACATTGTGAAAGGCTGAGAGTTTAAAATTACTACGGCATATTAATCAAGGAAGAAATTATTTTTATAAATATACTAAAAATAAATGAGGAATCTCATCAGTGATTTATTAACTATTCTGTAGATATTTCTAGTTAATGTCTTTTGATAGAGTTCACATTCTTCTGGTCATTTTTCTGTTTCTGTCTCTTGCTCACACATACACATCCCTACCCTCATACCACCCTACAGTAGTCTTCCATTATTGACACAAAGTATGTGAAAAGTCTTCCAATAGTAAATAAAGTGTGTTTAAATGTGCCATGGTAAAGCAGGTCCATTTACTCAGTTTTGTATATAACTGTATATAATCATTGGATTATAATGACGTCATAATTTCTAGGAATCTAAAAGTTTTCTGCGATAAACCCACATTTAGGAAAATTACAGAGCTAGGTCATAGGTTTCCATCGGGCAACATGAGCATGACTTGAGAAGTGAATTAGTAAGATGCCTTGAAACCCTTTCACCAGAAGTGCTAGTACTTACTACTCCTTCCAAGCTGTTCTTTTTATTTATTTTTTAAGTTTATTTATTTTGAGAGAGCGAGAGAGTGCAGGCAGGGAAGAAGCAGAGAGAGGAAGAGAGAGAGAGAATCCCGAGTATGCTCTGCACAGTCAGCACAGCCCGACATAGGGCTTGAACCCATGAACTGTGAGATCATGACCTGAGCTGAGATCAAGAGTTGGACTTTTAACTGACTGAGTCACCCAAGTGCCCCCGAAGGTGTTCTTTTTAAAACTATGAAAAATTCATTGAAATCCCAGTCTAGGAAAATTATCTCCATATCTAACAGAAAGAAATGGTCAATTAGAGTAAAATCAATTTAATGAAATATTGTCCAACTATTAAACTGTATGGAATGGTTATGGTTATGATAATGTAAGAAAATACCTGTGGTGAGGAAAGGACACAGGATGCAGTTGTTACATCTTTAATGAAAGCTCTGTAAATGCCTGCATGAAAGAAATACTATAAAACACCCAGTATTTCCAGGAGATTGTCATAGGAACATGTTAGGAAAAGCATAAAGTTCCACACTGAACAAAATTAGATATATAGCAGAGATCCAAAAAAATTTTAAATTAAAGGAGGGGCACCTGGGTGGCTCAGTCAATTCTTGATCTCTGCTCAGGTCTTTATCTCAGGGTCATGAGTTCAAATCCCACAGTGGGCTCCATGCAGAGCATGAAGCCTACTATAAAAAATAATAATAAAAACAAAGGAAATATACAAGAGAATTATATCAATTTATTTTTCTTGCCATTCCTAAAATCCTATGATATCTTTAAATATATCTAGCATCTCTAGTATTATTAAGTGGCAGGAACTTAAACTACAAGTTTATGTATACACTGCCACTTTAAAAGTCAAAATATTTAATTTGTTCAGAACCTAACAAAATACTAATTCTTTTTTTATTTTAATGTTTTTAATGTTCATTTATTTTTGAGACAGAGAGCACGAGCTGAGAGGGGCAGAAAGAGAGGGAGACACAGAGTCTAAAACAGACTCTAGGCTCTTAGCTGTCAGCACAGAGCCCGATGCGGGGCTCGAACCCAGAGACCACGAGATCATTACCTGAGCCGAAGTCAGACACTTAATTAACCAACTGAGCCACCCAGGCACCCCAGCAAAATACTAATTCATAAAAAATAATTTATCCTTTAAAAAAAGAAACTCAACTCTAAAATTACATGGCAGTTTCCCTTCTGTATATCCATCACTTTTTCCACTTGCCCCTTATCTAAGACTTGTGAGAAGCTCATATGATTGCTAAGGATGTGGGAATGGAGAACCTTTTGTCCTCATTGCCTACATCCCCTTAATTCAAAAAGTCCCTCTCCAAACTGCCTGCATCCTACCAGAATGAAGTGACTAATAAAAAGTATTTAGTCAACCAAGAAGAGTTTGGGCCAGAATTTTCGCTGGCAACATAAAAATGCTAAATAAAGGGTGGTGACTTGAGTGACACTCATGCCTAAATTCTACATATCAACTAATTTCTCAGCAAACTCTTGTTTTCCTACTGTAGAGAAAAACTTATTCTGGGAAGTTACTTGTTTTGTCTTAATTCCAAAAATTAAATCGTATTTGTTTTTTCTGTGCTTTGATTTTTGCTCTTGCTTTCCTCATGTATTCTCATAAGAGGCCAGGACTTATTCTTAACAGTAAACAGTCTTTGTCATGATTTAGCTTCTAGCAGAAATGAAGATGGAAAAAGAGTTCTTTCCTGTTGGGAGAGAAATTGCTGGAATTGTGTTAGATGGTAAGTTTCTAGATATAAATATCTGTATTTTCTAAGATGAAAGAATTAAATGGTAGCTAATTGGTTTACCAGTACAGAAAATTATACATCCTCAAATGTGAATTTTAATTATACAGAAATGACTCCCTTTCTTAATTAAAAAGAAAAATGGAACTTAATTGGTGTTTTATAATTAAAGAGCTTAGTAGAGTTTAGTAAATATTTAGGGATTATATGTTTAATTCCATGAGTAATCATATGGAATAGAATGACCAACGTTTTTCTTTTTATGATATTTACAGACCATAAATTGCTTGTGTAATTTGGCTTTGGGCCAAAATTTATAATAATAGAAACTATATTCACATTCAATTTGTTTTGTTTGCCCAAAATTGAGCATTTAAAAGTTAAGCAGTTTGCTCATATAGATGGGGATTCTGGGGAGAAATAACCAGTAAGATTTATGATTGCCTTAAATCAAAAGAGTTGTTTTAAGTTTTACTTAATAAATAATGAGTAAATAATGATCTTAACATGCAAGACAGTAAGCCTAGTATTTAAGACCATTTTTTTTTTTGATTCATTAAATATTTGAATGAATCATTGAGCAGCTAAGGAGATACAAAGGTGATTGAAACGTGGTCAAAGAGGTGAGGCAAATGCACAAATCATAGAAAGTATAAGGTCCACTGAATCACAGCAGCCAAAGGAAAGTGCTTTAGGAGGTCAAGAATGAGACTGCTTCCAGTGAGATTTTTTTTTTTTAATGTTTATTTATTTTGAGAGAGAGAGGGAGAGTATACGCGCACAGGTGCAGGCAGGAGAGGAGAGAGAGAATCCCAAGGAGGTTCCACACTATGAGCACAGAGCCCAACATGGAGCTGTATCCCATAAACCATGAGATCATGACCTGAGCCGAAATCAAGAATCAGATATTTAACCAACTGAGCCACCCAAATACCCTGAGATAATTTGTTTCTAAATAGATCTATGTTTCATATTCATTGCTAATAGGTAGTTCATGATCAGTCAATGTTTGCTCTTCCTGCAGATGTGAATGAATGAGTATATAATGTGGGTTAGACTCTTTGAGTTTTACCTGTGATTTTAATCTATAATATATTTGACTCTTCCTCAGTGTTTTCTTGAGATGTAGTTAAAATACAATTTCTTCTTTCTTCTCAGAAAGTAGGAAAGCAAAAATACAAATTCTAACAGCTTGAACATGATCAGTTATTTAATTTATTCATTTATTCATCTGACATTTAGTGAGTACTTGCTAAGTGCTTGGGATATTAAATAAGACAAAGTCCCTGCTGTCAAAGAATTTACTATCTAGGGGAAATACAGATACAGCAGATTATTATGAAAGCTCAGAAGAGAGCCACCCAACCTGGCAGAAGAAACAGGGAAGGCTTCTTGGGTAAGTCAATCAGACAGTAAGGAGGAGAATCATACTCAACACAGAGGAGATCATGAACAGAGACAGAAGCCAGTAATGCTGTGATGTAAGACTTCCAGAGTTTGGTATTGCTAGAACAAAAGCAGCATTCTGGGCAGGAGTTGGAGGCAAGGCACTTGGCAGAAGAGAAACATTTTGCTAAGAAAACTCTCCTTTAGAAACAGCAGAATTAAAGATAAAATATTTTAATGATATGAACACTGATTACTTCCCCCCCCAAAATATGAGGCAGGAGGGTAGACAAGGGCTAGCCCCATGATGAGCCTCACATGTCAGATTGGGTTTTAGGGAGATTATTGGTGTGGCTGTATACTTGTGAGGCTGTAGGTAAGAGGACTGGTTAGAGTGTAGACTAACAGGCAAGAGATGACAAAGTCCATAAACTAGACCGTGGTGACAAAGGTGTGTGTTCAAGAAATACTGAGGAAATAAAGTCAACAGGACTGAATAATTAACTGGAACAGGGGAATAAAAACAGGTTTAAGAGCCAGGAGTGATTTACCTGATGCTGGATAAGGTATGAGTTGGTGCCACTAATTGAGAAGGGAAAAGGATCTGATTTGGAGGAAAATGGTGAGTTTAGATGTATACTTGCTGAGCTTGAGGTACATAGTGACATCTCACTGGAAAAGTCTAGTAAGCGATGTGTGAGTTTAAACTCATAGGTAAGAGGAGTCCCTGGGTGGCGCAGTCGGTTAAGCATCTGACTCTTCATCTCAGTTCAGGTCTTGATCTCACGGTTCATGAGTTCAAACCCCACATTGGGCTCTGCGCTGATGGTGCAGAGCCTGCTTGGCTTTCTGTCCATCGCTCTGCCCCTCCCTGGTTTGTGCTCTCTCTCTCTCTCTCAAAATACAAAAATAAACTTAAAAAAAATTTTAAACTCAGGCAAGAGAGGTCTGTGCTAGAATTGTATATATTTGATGGTTGTCCACATGTCAGTTGTATTTGAGATCAGAGTTGGTGAGCTCACTCGGGATAGAGTAGAAATGGAGGAGAGACATCAACATAGCCACTCTTTGGGGGACAACTGAAAGGAATGTAAAGGAAGCCAACTGGAAAAGATCAGAGTGATCCCAGGAAGACAGGGCACAGCAGCAGAAGGGAAAGGGAAAAGTACAGTGCATCAGAAGCCACAAATATTGGGGGATACAGGCGCAGGAGGGATCCAAAGAAAGACCGAACTGTGAAAAGAGGGCTTGAAAGTAGGAATATCAAACTTGGCAGTAACTTGCAGAGCACCAGCAAATGATTTCTGGAACCATCTTGTTGCTGGTCAGCTACACAGGCCACTTCCAGATTTCCAGCTTCCATATTCCTTCCTTGCACTACCTCAGTTTTGGTGTCTGTTAACTAGGAATAATAATGCCTCCCACATGGGCTGAATGTGATGAAGATTAAATGTGATACTTACGGGGCCCCAAGGTGGCTCAGTGGGTTAAGTGTCCAACTTCAGCTTAGGTCACTATCTCACGATTCGTGGGTTCAAGCCCCACGTCGGGCTCTGTGCTGACAGCTAGCTCAGAGCCTGGGGCCTGCTTCAGATTCTGTGTCTTTCTCTTTCTCTGATCCTCCCCTGCTCACGCTGTCTCTCTCTCTCAGAGACAAAACATTTTTTAAAATTTATTAAAAATAAATAAATGTGATACTTGCTACAAGTTGGCATTCACTGAAGTTTGGGGTTTCCCCTCTTTTCTTCTTATAACTATTTGAACAAAAATATTCTCAAAAATTGACCGAGGGGTGTCTGTGTGGCTCATTCAGTTAGGCATCCGACTCGGTTACAGCTCAGGTCATGATCTCACAGTTTGTGGGTTCTAGCCCCATACTGGGCTCTGTGCTGACAGTGCAGATCATGCTTGGGATTCTCTCTCCCTCCCACTCTGCCCCTCCCCCACTCGTGAGCTCGCACATGCCCTCTCTCTCTCTCTCAAAATAAATAAATTTTTAAAAATACAAGAGGCCAAAATTGTTGTCCTTTAAAAAAAGAAAAAAGAATTGACTGATGATAGAGTCTTTTTCTCTACATGTGCAGAGAAAATGTAACTGTCATTTCTATATAGTTCCAAGAAATCTCTTGGCACTGGTCTGAATTTATTTCTATTATAATCCCAAATCAAAGTAATTTTATGCATGACTCTTATCAGAATCTGCCATTGTATGTCTGAGGTCCTGCAACTAAAATAATGATAGAAGATTGGGCCAACCACAGGAGGGATGGAAAGCAGTGTAATCCCCATAAGAGCTGTGGAGACAATTATTTTCCTTCATCCTTAGCTAAATAGAGAGACATCCTTCTCTGTGGTGTCAACACCACATGACCCAAATTTTATTGAGAAGTATGTGGAGAATCCAGATTTGAAGTGTTCTGTCCTGCAGTATTTATAGATATCAAAACATCCTGGAAGTTCTTGGCCTTTCCTCTGAGTCAGTGACTTTTTTTTTTATAAACCCATGGATTTGTTTCAATAGCTAAGTAACTGAGTAGTATTTAATAAACTCACAATAAGAATTGTTCATTTTTCCCTCTGTAGTTGGAAACAAGGTATCATTCTTTCAACCAGATGATGAAGTCGTTGGTAAGTTATGATTTATAGCCCTATTTCAAGTCAAATCTATTTTACTGTCATCTCTTCTTTTTCTGAGACAATTATTAATGTTTACTGTGTCCCCTGTTTTCTATGGAAGGATACATGTATCCTGACTTTTTGGAATCTGCTCGCAAATACCCACTGACGAAGAAAATTGGGAATTCAATCTCCACAGCAGAATATTTAAAACTTTCTAATACTTAACTATTGAACAATATTATAGATGGAGAGATGACCATGGCTGGTGCAGCCCTTTCCTGACAGCTCCCTAATCTGTGGCTAGACCGCAGACTCTGGGAAGCGCAGTCACTTGTCACCTGCTTGAAGACCACTGACCGCCCGGCCCGTAGGGAGGCTCCACTCTCCATATCTAGCTTGCATCTCACAGAGCTGCTCCCTCAATCCTCTTATAAAACCAAAAGTTTACTGGAAACACGTAGTTTATTGACTATTTAAAAAATCCATAGTGAATACTATTTTGCAAATACACATATTTATACTATTGTATCCTAAACAGTCACACAAACATACAAAATATGACTTTATTCGTAGTCTCTAAAGTTAACCATTCTCTCTGGAAAATATTCATAAGATATTCGCCTAAACTTAGAAAACACTTTACTTTATGGCTTGCTTGAAGTTGTTGAAAACTGATTTGTAGAGAGGTTTTCATCAGCTTTTTATGGTATTGCCCTTGACTTCTGTGTTTTATTGGAGAATTTATTATTTCTGTCTTTCATATCTTTATTCGTCCAAGAAGTCAATGACACTGTTCCTCACGATTCTTTTTATAAGAGACCAAAAATAAAATCAGACTAGCATAGGGGAAAATGGGATTTTACTGGAAGTGCACTGGGGTATCTTAAAGAACCAATCTGGGAAGGGAGCTGTTCCTCAGGGACAATTTTAATGAGGAATCCAGATGCCCCCAGGACTCTGACTTGGCTCTATACATCGGCCACCGCCTTTACCATCGCTCCGAGGTGAAAGAAGAGGGAGTAAAAGGTAGTACCAGTGATGTAACATTCACGACAGAAAATGAACAATCCACTTCCCTTCCATACTTCTGAGGTCTCTCCCTTCCCCACACTAGTAATTACTGGAATCTTCCTCAAAATTCCAGTGAACAAAATTTAGACTCATACCAGCATCTCTGTGAATTCATTTTGGGATTGTTTCCCTTAAGTTTCTCTTGTTAATTTCCAGGAATTCTGCCACTAGATTCTGAAGACCCCGGGCTTTGTGAAGTTGTTAGAGTGCATGAGCATTACTTGGGTACGTGCCAGTCTTTTGCAACCCATGTAAGTCTTAACATCTTCGATGCCATTGCGCAGTATTTGCATCCACCTTGAGTAATAAATAACTGTTGACTGGTCACATGAACACTGCTAGCTTATATTAATACCCATAAAGTTCATATTTAGACCAAGCAATATATAGACCTTTAACTTTCACTTACACTGCCATGGTCAGAGATTTGAAAAGTAGCTTCTTCCCTGGCTCTGAAATTATATCCCTGATCAGAATCTTTTTTTAATTGAAATATAGTTGGCATATGATATTATATTAATTTCAGGTAAAGAATTTTTCTTCTTCTTGGAACTTAAAAATATTGAAACTTTTGAACTTAAAAATATACAAAATCTAAGGGCTCCTGAGTGGCTCTGTCAGTAGAGGATGTGACTCTTTATCTTAGGGTTGTGAGTTCAAGCCCCATGTTGGGTGTAGAATGTACTTAAAAAAATTAATTTCAAAAGGCATTTTTCTGGAAATCTGAGGCCTGTGCTTATTTATATGTGTATTAAACCTAGAGATGGAGTCAAGTATGTGTCTTCCTTTGAATGACACAGCTCACTTTCACATACCATGCCACGAAAGTCTTTGATCCATAGCTATTTTGTTACTATGCAATTTGAAAATTGAGGACCATCACTAGCTTCTTTACGGGTAACTATACTATTTTTGATCCCAGAATTTCCGTGGGCCTTATTTCAACTATTCTTTTGAGAACCTTGTAACGATGGAGTCAACTAAAACCTTTCACTTGGATTCCCAGGCTTGAGTTTTGACTAAGTTCCCTAAATTAAATTGGTATAGAAAGGTAACTCTTAGAAAGAAAAAAAAATGAAAAACAAAATAAGGCCCATTTTTTAGGTGTTGCTGAATACTGGAGAATTCTAAAATGGGCTAGAAGAAGAGCAAATTGGAACACCAGTTTCCTAGCTAGAAAGCTTAAGCCAAGACAAGGAAACAAATTTTATTTTTCCACAAATCAGGAGGATTATAGTTCAAAAATCCATTAACATATATAGAGAGTACAATTCCACATACTCCTTGAGAAAGAAAATAGAGTAAAATGTTTCTTTGGAAGAGGAACTTTCAGAATGGCCACTTAACTGTGACCACTTGCCTTTGGGCGAGAAACTGGGCACATTCACCAAACCAGATAGCCTCTGAGCTCTGATGCAGGTCCAACAAAAGAGGAAATAATTTCAGTACAGTCCCTAAAGATTTGCAGAAGGAAATATTCAGTTTAGCACAACTCTATTTTAGTTTCTATTAATTCTTCAGTGATTTTTTAAAATAAAAGTTCAGCACTCAGTCACCTTCAAATAAGTCTGTTCTATCACCAAACCAAAGAATTAGGTTCCAAACAACCTCTCCAACATGTCTTATTTATCCTTTTACAGAATATTAAAGTTAAGAAGCTGAGTAATTCTGGGGCGCCTGGGTGGCTTAGTCGGTTAAGCGTCCGACTTTCGCTTAGGTCATGCCGCGTCGGGCTCTGTGCTGACAGCCAGCTCAGAGCCTGGAGCCTGTTTCAGTCTGTGACTCCCTCTCTCTCTGACCCTCCCCTGCTGACGCTGTCTCTCTCTCTCCTAGAAATAAATAAAACATTAAAAAAAAATAATAAAGATCCCTTCTACCTTCCAACCCTTTTAAAAAAAAAAGAAGCTGAGTAATTCTTCCAGCTCTTTTGTGCTTTTAGCTCTTAAGCCATTTATGTCAAACAAAGAATAATTTTTTCATTCAAAATGTGGTACACATTTTCAGCATTATTTTATTGGACCTAAGATGGAATTGAAATTGTAATTCTTGCGTTTGATATGCTATATGATCCATACATGGCTATTTCATTTACATTTTCAGTTTTTATAACATAATAAACACTTGTGGATCATCACCTAACACAAAGTCAAGAATCTCAACATTAAACCACATGTAACCATGCAATGTTAGAGTCTTTGCTATCTAAATGTAGTTTTATTACTGTTAGTATTTTTTAAAGGGCTACATGTTTGATTTCTTAATGAAAATGTAGGTAGTCCTAATTCTTACAATGGAAGACATTCCCCAGAAATAAAAATGCACTTCATGTATCTTGAGCATGCACTGTTAGAGTAGATGTACTTTTAGAGTCAGGAATTCACATTTCTTAGCTGTGTGGCCTCAGACAAATTAATTACCCTGAACCACATTTTATAATCAAGAAAATTGGGAGAGTAGGTATCTTAAAGAGTTTGGTAAAGAATAAAGTACCATGTGTGATACCACCTGGTGATCTATTTTAATGACTTGCCTGTCTGAACATTTTCAGTGTGTATGTGCAGGTGCTCACTTCCCCACTAGATGGCACCAGTCAGTAAGTGTAAAGCTCACACTGTCCTGCACTACACCATCTCAACCTTTTTTTTTTTTTTTTTTTAATTTTTTTAACGTTTATTTATTTTTGAGAGAGAGAGAGACGGAGCATGAGCAGGGGAGGGGTAGAGAGAGGGAGACACTGAATCTAAAGCAGGCTCTAGGCTCCAAGCTGTCAGCACAGAGCCCAAAACGGGCTCAAACCCACCAACTGTGAGATCATGACCTGAGCTGAAGTCGGACCCTCAACTGACTGAGCCACCCAGGTGCCCCCTACACCATCTCAGCTTTTGAGGAAAAACATTTGAAAGAGCTGGTAAAGACTATGAAAGTGTAATAAAGTTGACTTTAGGCACCCACATTTGGGGGCACCTGGGTAGCTCAGTCACTTGAGCATCTGACTCTTGATTTCAGCTCAGTCGTGATCCCAGGGTCATGGGATCGAGCCCTATGTCAGGCTACACACTGAGCATGGAGCCTGCTTGAGATTAACTCTCTATCCTCTGCATCCCTCCCCTGCTAACGCTTTCTCACACTCTCAAAAAGTAAATAAGCAGGGTTTTTTTTTAGATCACATTTGGTGTACAACGTAAGAACCTAATAATGAAATGTTTTAAGGAACAGCTTAATGATCAGATCATATAGAACTCTTTAAACTTTATTAGGAGTTTGCACTTTGTTTCAAGTGCATTGTTAAGTCATTGATGAATTTTATTTATTTAAAAAAATTTATTTTTACATTTTTATTTTATTTTGAGAGACAGAGAGCAAGTGGGGGAGGGACAGAGAGAGAGAGACACAGAATCTGAAGCAGGCTCTGAGCTGTCAGCACATGCCTGATGCGGGCCTCGAACCCACAGACTGTGAGATCATGACCTGAGCTGAAGTCGGACATTTAACCAACTGAGCCACCCAGGTGCCCCTCATTGATGAATTTTAAACAGAGCAGTTTTAGCATGTTATTTATGTTTTTAAAAGATCATTCTGATACTTCTGTTTTCCAAAGATGCCCACTAAAGTGATTGAAAAGAAGTTATAAAGTTGAAAATGATATTTATAATACATAAATGAGCAAATGATTCATCTAGAAAATATTTTTAAATTCCTGTAAGTTTGGGGCACCTGGGAGGCTCAATAGGTTGAACATCTGACTCTTGATTTCAGCTCAAGTGATGATCCCAGGGTTATGAGATCAAGTCCTGCATTGGGCTGTACACTGAGCATGAGGCCTGATTGAGGTTCTCTCTCTCTCCTCTACCCTTGTCGCATGCATATGTTCTCTCTATATTAAATAAATAAATAAGTAAATAAATAAATTTAAAAATTCCTATAAATTAATAAGAAAAAGACAAAAATAACAAAAAATGATAAAACACTTGAAGAGTTATTTCACAAAAGGAATTCCAGATGGCCAGGAAACACAGAGAGGTGCTAGTGGTAGCAGCAGTGAGGGAAAAGCAAGTTGAATGGTAAGAGACCATTACACAGCCACGTGATTGGTAAGAATGTATAATACAAGGGGTTGACAGACAATCACAGTAATAGGAGTTCTATTTACACAGCTATGGGAGAATAAATTCGTACAGCCTCTTCCGGAGCATGCAGGAAAGTCGAGGACAGTAGACCTGTAACCTGGGATTTCCATTCCCAAGTAATATCCTAGAGAAAACCCATGCAACAGCATAACAGCATAATCTTTTATATGAGAGCATGCCTAGCAGCATTGTTTAAAATTGCCAACAACTGAGAACAACACAAATGTGCCTGAGCCGGAGAGCGGTCACCGAATGAGCATGTTCTCACATAATAGAATGCCATAAAATACCAGAAGAATGAAAGCACTGCAGCCACAGTCATACAAAGGGGCGGGTCTTAAAAACAATGCTGAGGGGAAAAACCAAGACAGAAAAGAATGCGTATGCTATGATTCCATTTAGATGAAGTTCAAAAACAGGCAAAACTAAATGACACTGTTTAGGAATGCATACTTGGGTCATAAACTAGGAAGGTGAATAAGAAATTAACTTAGAATGGTGCCAGCCTCTGGCTGGAGAGACCAGGCTAAGGCTGTTGGGGTGCGGGCTGTGTGTTCTCTCTCTTTACCAAGATGGTCATTACTTGTATATTTGCTTTGTATTTATTCATCCATCTGCATGTATGTTTCATGTATTTTTCTTCATTTGTTTTTTTAATGTGTAATTCCTTTTTTTTTTTTTCATTTTTATTTTTTTCTGAGAGAGAAAGTGTACACCCAAGCAGGGGAGGGACAGAGAGAAGGGGAGAGAGAGAGAGAGAGAGAGAAAAAGAGAAAGAGAAAGAGAACCCCAAGCATGTTCCATGCTATCAGCACGGAGTCCGACGTGGAGCTCAAAGTCATGAACCACGAGATCGTGACCTGAGCCAAAATCAAGAGTCAGAGGCCTAGCCAACGGAGGAACCCAGGCACCCCTGCATGTGTTTTATTTCAGAATATGATGTTTAAAAAATGCACACACACGGGCGCCTGGGTGGCTTAGTCGGTTAAGCGTCCGACTTTCGCTTAGGTCATGATCTTGCGGTTCGTGGGTTCGAGCCCCGCGTCAGGCTCTGTGCTGACTGCCAGCTCAGAGCCTGGAGCCTATTTCAGAGTCTGTGACTCCCTCTCTCTCTGACCCTCCCCTGCTCACGCGGTCTCTCTCTCTCTCTCCTAGAAATAAATAAAACATTAAAAAAAAAATAAAAAATGCACACACATACCAGCTCTTATGCTGAGGGTGCACTACGTACGGGTGAGAATGCAATTAAAGAAACCAAAACGTAGGGAAGGATAATAGGAGGAGAGGCTTGGCCCAGAGTCAGGGTGGGAGCCAGAAATGGAGAGAAACAGACAGATCCAGGGGGCAGAATTAATGGGACTTGCAAACTGGTTGTTTCCTCTTGTTCTTTGTGACAGTTCACAAGCCAGAAAAAGTTACATGGACAGAAGCTGCTGGAACTATTCGGGATGGAGTACGAGCCTATACAGCTCTGCATTATCTTTCTCACCTCTCTTCTGGAAAATCAGTGCTGATAATGGATGGAGCAAGTGTAGGTGCTCATAGTTAAGAAACGGATCAAAATCCAGCAAACTTAGGAAATAGGCTCTTCATTTGCTAATTTAATTCTTTGCCGATAGCTTTCCTTTATCAAAATCCCATTTTATTAGAATAGGCAGCCTTTATTAACAGGAGATAAAATTTATTCTTAAGTGTGTTTAGTGTCTTATTACTTTGAATCTGCTAGTACATTAAAAAGGTAGACAAGCCATGTTTTTATGCCTGTTACACAAAGCCTGAAATAGCTCATGAAATCTTTGAAGCAATGCCATAAAACTCCTTACCAATTTTTTATATCCCTCACACTTAGATTAATAAGGTATTGATTGCACTTACAGATGGATCACACAAGGTAAAAAATATTGCTAACGTCAACATATTACAGGTACCATCCAAAAAATAGTTCAAGACACTAAAACTACCTAAAAATCGATTATGTTACGAACGCAGTATTACAAAAGTTGGGATGAATTTTTATAGTTTTATTTTCTGTCTGGCCATTAATGAAAATTCTTACTTCCCCTGCTTTTCTTTTGCAAAACAGGCAGACCTGTCTTTGGCATTGGCTTCAGCCTGATGTCCAGCTCAAGATAATAGGTTTTCCCTGAACTTACCCCTTACATCAGCAAAGGGATGGATCTTTGAGGGTGCTTTGGTCTTTAAAGAAAAGTAGCTGGACTCCTACACATACTATGAAATTAGCTTAGAACATCACGCTGACAAGTCCCGTAAAAGCCCATTTTTCTCTTTCTCAGGCAAGTTTCTGAATGCCGCCCTCCATCTTGAATTCCGTGCAGTGGTCAGACGGGGTGAGAGCTTGTGGTACATGCGCCTGTTCTGCCCCTCCTTCTGAAGAAGCAAATCAGATGTCTCAACCGTGTCCATATTGATTTTCCTTTTTCTATCAGATAACATTAAAAAATATACTAGAGTAGCACTTAACACTATTACACTTTATTAAACAGCCTGTAAAAGAAGTTAGCTGTGGCTTCTGCCTTATATCTATAAACCCATTGTGTATTTTTTTCCCACACAGGCACTCGGTATGATAGCTATTCAGTTAGCACACCACAGAGGAGCCAAAGTGATTTCCACAGCAGGCAGCCTCGAAGACAAGCAATGCCTTGAAAGACTTAGGCCTTCTCTAGGTGGGTAATACTACTCAGCGCAGACTTTTAAACAGAAAATTGTAAAGACCTATCACTTTAAAGGCTGTACTCATAAAACAAAGTACAGACTCCCAAATGAAAGTCACTGGTAAAAATGCACTTAGTATCTGTGCTAAGTCCAGGTTTCCTTACATGATAGTTTTAATTTTTTATTCTTTTTAAACCTACACTTCTCTGTGTGTTTTCTTTTTGCCCCATTGTTATCAACTTACTCAAGTGTGAATTAGCTGAACTTTGACACAGTTTCACAATAACCTGATATCTCTTTGCTTTACTCAATAAATCAGTGTATTTGTGTATGACTTTATAGGTTCCTCAACTTCTTTTACCCAATGATATATATCTCTAAAGTTGTCCGTTTTTTGTGGTACACTAGAAAGAAGATCCACTTACACAGAAAACATAGGTCAGATATAGTTTATAATGAACAGGACATGGTGGAGACTGGGGAGCTCTTAAAAAGATTAAACATGAAGACTTAAATGTGAACTATATATAGTTCACTTAAACGTGAAACTATAAAAATCCTAGAAAAGAGTACAGGCGGTAATCTCTCCGACATTGACATAGCAACATTTTTCTAGATATGTCTCTTGAGGCAAAGGAAACAAAAGCAAAAAGAAACTATTGGGACTACATCAGAAGAAAAAGCTTCTGCACAGCAAAGAAAACAATCAACAAAACTAAAAAACAACCTACTGAATGGGAGAAGATATTTGCAAATGATCTCTCTGATAAAGGGTTAGTATCCAAAATCTGTAAAGAACTTATGCAAATCAACACTCAGAAAACAAATAATCCAATTAGAAATGGGCAAAAGACATGAACACATATTTCCCCAAAGAAGAAATAAAGATGGCCAACAGACACATGAAAAGATGCTCAACATACCCCATCATCAGGGAAATGCAAATCAAAACTATAATGAGACATCCCCTTAACACCTGTCACAATGGCTAAAATTAAAAAACAAAAACAAGTGTTGGAGGGGATGTGGAGAAATAGGAACTCTAATGCACTGCTGGTGGGAATGTAAGTTGGTACAGCCACTGTGGAAAACAATATGGAAGTTCCTCAGAAAGTTAAAAATGGAAATACCCTGTGATTCGGTAATCACACTACTGGGTATTTACCTAAAAAATATAAAACACTAATTCAAAGGCATACAGGCACCCATATGTTTATTACAACATTAATATTTACAATAGCCAATGATAGTGTCCATTGGTAGATGGATATATGAAGAAGATGTGGTATATCTGCAATGGAATATTACTCTGCCATAAAAAAGAATGAAATCCTGCTATTTGTAACCACATGGATAGAGCTAGAGAGTATAATGCTAAGTGAAATAAGCCAGTCAGAGAAAGACAAATACCCTATGATTTCACTAGTGGAATTTAAGAAACAAAAAGATGCACAAAGGAAAAAAGAAGAAAGAGACAAACTAAGAAACAGACTCAACGCTAGAGAACAAACGAATGGTCACCAGAGGGGAGGTGGGTGAAGAAACGGGTGAAATAGATGAGGATTTAGAGCACACTTAGCATAGGGAGCACTGAGTAACAGAATTGTTGAATCACTATATTATACACCTGAAGCTAATTTAACATTGCATGTTAATCATACTGGAGTTTTTAAAAATTAATAAAAACATCCTCAACAAAAATGAAAACGATTGAACTTGTCTGCACAACAGTGCACATGGAAAGAAAAAAGAAAATAGAGACTGAAGAAAATGAACAAGCAGAGGAGAAAAGATAGGAATGGAAAAACTAACAGATGAAGAAAAAAAAAGGATGAGCAGAGTGCATGTGAAGGGCAGGAAAGAAGGAAGGAAAGGTTCACTGAGTGTTAATGGGAACGATCTGTCCTTAAGTCAACAACCCTGTGTTCTCGAACCAGGGAGCCGCGTCCAGCGGATTTAACTAGCTTGTCCAAGGATGTACAAGTGGAAGGATTGGAGTGGCATTTGAACTCAGTCCTGTCTACCATGGAAGCCTACGCCACTCCCATTGTTACATTATGCTTCTGGCAGAGATAACCAAGATCTGGAAGACAGGTTAAGGCAGGGACTGGAAAAAGAAGGAAAAAAGAGCTTGAAAATGAATAGTATTGTTGAAGAGAAAGATTTCTTACTGGTTAACCCTGCCCTTCCCAGGTGCCTCAGTTCCCTTTTCCTTGTGCCCTCCCCGTGCCCACCCTTGTCACCCACATGTTAGATCACTGTTGTTCTACACTTCCAGCCCATGCAGCTCTAAGGAGAATTTTCTTTTACAGAAAGGTGCTAAAATATACAAAAATGAATTATAAACTGTGTCTTCATTTGCCAATTCAAATTCTGACTTTTTGTTGTTGTTGTTCATTGGCTTGTTCTATTGATACAGTATTCTAAAGCAACCAGTTAAAATAGTTTAATTTTGGGGCGCCTGGGTGGCTCAGTTGGTTAAGCGTCCGACTTCAGCTCAGATCATGATCTTATGGTTCGTGAGTTCAAGCCCCATATCAGACTCTGTGCTGACAGCTCAGAGCCTGGAACCTACTTTAGATACTGTATCTCCCTCTCTCTCTAACCCTCCCCTGCTTGCACTCTGTCTCTCTTTCTCAAAAATAAAGATTAAAAAAAAATTTTTTAAGTTTAATTTTCACTAACTCTGCTGAAAATAATAATGTTTTTTTCCTGAACCTTCATGATTTTTCATTCTGGGCAACAACTGGGGAAGGCAGTGGGGTGGAGGGGTGGGGGGCAGATTTCTATGACCGAAAAAGGATAAAACAGCCTCTAATAGAGAAATACCGTATCACACAAGTACGTTTTTGGCTTTTTATTTTTTTTATATATTTTTTTATTTATTTCTAGGAGAGAGAGAGACAGCGTGAGCAGGGGAGGGTCAGAGAGAGAGGGAGACACAGACTCTGAAACGCTCCAGGCTCTGAGCTGGCAGTCAGCACAGAGCCCGACGCGGGGCTCGAACCCACGAACCGCGAGATCATGACCTAAGCGAAAGTCGGACGCTTAACCGGCTAAGCCACCCAGGCGCCCCACGTTTTTGGCTTTTTAGCTTTAAACTGTATTAAATCTAAACATACTTAAGAAATTGGTTACTCTTTCAGTCTATGCCTTAATATATAATAATGTGTTTAATAATAATGAAGAGTTGAATGTAAACTCTGTGGTTTACAGATTCTCTGTTCTGGCTGTATATCTTTTAGCTCTAGGGAACAGACCTCTGTTGAACAGACAAGCCTTGGAACACCTTATCCACAAAATGTTCAGTATTTTTTTTTTATGTCATAGAAGAGTCCCTTCCTTTAAGTTGATCTTTACCACTGTTGCCTTAGAAGAGAGAAAAGTGGAATTTAGAGCCAATAATTGTTTGAACCACTCAACACATTTCAGAGAACAGAAATTTATTCTTTTCCTTACAATTGCCTCACTTCCTGTCCTTTACAGCCCGAGTCATTGATGTATCTAATGGAAAAGCCCATGTTGCTGAAAGTTGTTTAGAAGAAACAGGTGGCCTGGGAGTAGATATTGTCCTAGACGCTGGAGGTGGGTACTTTACTAAATCAGTAGTCTGTGCCATTTTTGTAGTGTGATGGATGAATTTCAAAATAAGTATATATAACCAGGGAATTATTATTAACATTCTTATTAAATTGATGTCATGTTTTGTTTTTAACTTTTCTAATTAAACTGGCGCTTCTTTATTACCATTGTAAACACTGTCTGGAAGAGAGAGCATGTTTACCTCTAAAGTACAGGCGTTGGAATTCAAGTGTGTCTATAGGAAATGGACAAACATGATCTCCTCAGTGGTTCCCAGATGATCCACATTAGTTCAGATCTCAGCCAGATGCTTAGTCAGTTCTGCTGTGTCTGGCTGCCTCTATTGGATGGTTGACTTCTGCAATCTCTGTTTGGGAAAAAAAAAAAAAAGCACAGAATTTTGTTCCATTTTTATATTCCTTGAACTTTCGTTTTTTAGTCAGTATTTAACACCTAATCTGTACACACTTAGGTAGTGCCATTGCACGTGAAGGATAAGATTCACAAGCCTGTGAAGGGATTCTGTTCGTACTTTGTTAAGATTTCTCTTCTGTGACTGTCTTCATGTGTTTATTTTTAACCAGTATTTTCAAGACTTGAAATTAACTTAGAAAAATCTTTCAGTGGAAGTGAATGTGTACTTCATTAACTTTTCAAATAAACATTTCCACTAATTATGTCAGAGTATGACTATCTTGAGGCTATGAGCTCCCTAATAGAAGTCAACTTTTCCCAAAGAATTAAGCTATCAGTGTTATGATTAAAACTGTTATGATTAAAAACGTTACGTTATCTTGCCTGGTTTTCAAATGAAAATAAGCTCTTTGTCTTTAGTTATGTTAATTATAATTAAATCTAGAGTAAATTTTATGACCAGTTTTAATGCTAAAAAGTACATTTTAAGGTGTCTGAATACAGTATGTGTTATTTTTTCTAAGAAAAATGCTTTCTCATTCCTACATAAAAAAGTTAAGAAGACTAATTTGAAAAGTAAATTTTTGCCAGATTACTATAAAATATATTTCTTGTCTCTCTCTTTCTCTTTTTAAACCACTCCCTTGTAAGTGAGATTATATAGTAAAGATGATGAACCAGCTGTAAAATTACAACTCCTACCACATAAACATGATATCATCACACTTCTTGGTGTTGGAGGCCATTGGGTAACAACAGAAGAAAACCTGCAGGTATTATCAGAAACAAGAAAACATTCCTATTACACCATAAGGATGTAATTAACAAAGAATAATCCCCAGGTCTTTTGAGGCAAGATGTAGAGCTATTATACATTCTGAATTATACCTGTTTCTAAAGAAATGTAGCATTCTTTTTTTGCTTTAGGTATATATTAACCAAAATGTAGAAATAGTGCTTAGGAGAGGAGTTCATTCAACTTGCATTTAGTGGTTTGAAAGTAGTGACTTCTGAATTTTTAATAGTATTTCAAGTAAGATTTTTTTTCTTAGTAACAACATTGTTACTATTGTAACATATACTTAGTAAATATTTTCTGTATGAAATTATGACAACTTCCCAGTTAAATATTCTTACCATGGTTGACATGCAAATACCATAGTTCTCTTATATTAATCTTCACTGATTTTCCGACATCCTCATGAAGATGACTGGTAAGTAGCAGCCAGAATTTCAACTCTCATGCACGTCTGCATTCACACACGCACTTGTGAGCACGTGCATACAGGGCACCACTCTGTCATCTCTACAGTGGCCTTTTGGACAACAAATTAGAAAAGAAAACTTTAGAGCTTACACATTGTTATTAAAGCTTGTGTGCTGTTTATTTGTGCTTTGGGGTATTTAATTTGCCTAGAAGTTTTTCTGGCTCAAGATAACAATCATCTTTCTGCTATTAAACTCACAGTAAATGATCAACCTCTGTGTATTCTTTCCAAGTTGGATCCTCCAGATAGCCACTGCCTTTTCCTCAAGGGAGCAACGGTGTCTTTCCTGAATGATGAAGTTTGGAATTTGTCAAATGTACAACAGGGAAAATATCTTTATATCCTTTTTATCTATTGACTTGAGTTTCTGGGTTGAAATTTACCATGTACTCTCATCATTAAATTCTTTAATAATGATCATTAATGATAATATCTGACTCTCATTGAGATGGCAAACAGTGTTCCAAGTGCTTTGTCGTTATTAACTTATTTAAACATGGCAACAGCACTCTGAAGTGTAAATACTATCATCCCTCTCTCACAGGTGAAGAAACTGAAGCATAAAAAGGTTTGGGGCGCCTGGGTGGCTTAGTCGGTTAAGCGTCCGACTTTCGCTTAGGTCATGATCTCACGGTTCGTGGGTTCGAGCCCTGCGTCGGGCTCTGTGCTGCCAGCTCAGAGCCTGGAGCCTGTTTCAGAGTCTGTGACTCCCTCTCTCTCTGACCCTCCCCTGCTCACGCGGTCTCTCTCTCTCTCTCTCTCTCCTAGAAATAAATAAAAAACATTAAAAAAAAAAAAAAAGGTTAATATGTGCCCAGGATGCAGCTGGAATTTGGCAGGCCTGGAATCACCCAGGCAGTCAGTCTTGCTTGTTTGTGAATGGGAGATAAACCATAAGATACGTGCAAAATTTTGTTTCATTTTCAACTTGTCATTACAGAAATTACACATCATCTTGAAAGGCTGCATCCTTAATCTAAGCTATCATGGTGCTATTAGATAAGACATTTCAGAATGCCTATCTGCATTAAAGAGTTTGTGGGGTGTTTTAAGATTAGCAAAGCTAAGAAATCTTCATCAAGTGAAGATGGGTTTGATTTTTTTTTTTTAAATGGAATTCATTCAGAGAAAAATCTGGTGAATGAAGCCAAATCATTCCAGTTTGGGTGAAAGTCATGAAATATTATCTTGAGAATTTGAAAGCAGTTTCCAAAAGAATGGTCCAGTCTTCTTGAGAGCAGGATCAAACTTAAGAATAAAACTTTGATTTCTGAGATAACCGTTTTAAAGGCAGCTGCACTTAGTAAAAAACTTTAATATACTGGATAAAACAGAAGTTCTTGTTACTAATAGGGTGTATCTGTGTGTGGAGAAAGACATTTGCATAGCCTTAGGTTTTTCTCTACTGAATATCATACTTGGCTTTTGTTAAATGTGTGTATATATGTGTTGTACTTATAAAGACCCACCTCTAAGAGCAATGACAATTCAGAGCTTTCAAATAGGAATATTTAATTAGTACCCTGCATATGTTCAGTTTTAAAAAATACATTGCTTTCTCTTTCTTTGAAGATTTTAAGTAATCTCTACACCCAATGTGGGGCTTGAACCCACAACTACGAGATCAGGAGTCCTGTGATCTACCAGCTGAGCCAGCTAGGCGCCCCTACAAAGCACATTTCAAAACTGGAACATTCCCTTAATGTAGTGAATGTGTGAGTTTAAAATACTTCTGATTAGATATTTTTCTATTAAATTTGGAAAATAAACTTAATTTTTAACTGTCTAGAAGAATTCTTTAGATTTCAGTTTTAAGCAACTTAATTGTTCACTAATGTTGTGATTATGAAGACTACCATGGGATGATGGTGGCTCGGTTGATAAGTATCCGACTCTTGATTTCAGCTCAGATCATGATCTCATGGTTCGTGGGTTTGAGCCCCGCGTCAGGCTCCATGATGAATCCCTGCTTGGGATTCTCTCCCTCTTCTCTCTGGCCCTCCCCCACACTCTTGCATACACTCTCTCTCCCTCTCTCTCAAAATAAAATAAACTTAAAAAGAAAGAACATCATGGGTTGTTAACAGTAGAGAACACCATGTGTTAAGAGTACCATTAGGTAGGGTGTTTAGAATCTTCCACGTCAGGAGCTAGGCTGGCTGCTTTGCCTGTGTTACTTAATTCCCTGCACACACTCTCAGAGTTACTGTTGGCACTTTAATTTAACAGAAAGAGAGAATTTGTAGTATGTGAGATTTCTTTAGGTCCTTTTAAAGAAAATCTTTAAAATGGCTTATGTTCATACTTTCTAATTTACATTTTCTAAAGTCCTGAATCAGACTTTAGTCTTCACTTGTGGAGACCCCTTAGTGGGTTCACACATCAGCCAGTTGCCGCCTGTAATTTAACAGACCTCCTTCCAGCTGTGTGTCATTCACTAGTACTAGCAGTTACATACTCTCAATCCTAACATAATTTCAATTAAATGACTTAATTTTTTTCCTTAATTTTAGAGTTTTTTCTCTTCTTGACAAACCACAGTTTGTTAACTTTTCTGCACACAAATTTTGAGCCAATTAGCAGTTTAGTAAATAAATGTGCACCTAATGTAAGAGACATGAGTGCTAAAATGGTTTTTAACTAAAAATATACATAGTGCTAAAAGGCAAAGCTGACACCATTTCATTTCTCCAGGTTTGGGATAACATTTAGTCATTACCTAGGACAGGGCATTAGGCTTGCTTCTTTTGTCACTTGTCCTTAGAAGTTTAGGCTCTATTATGTCACCACTTCTCTCATATCAGTTCCACATTTCCCTGTTTTCCAGGTAAATTTTATATCCTACAGAATTTCCATAATTTAAATTCTCAATTTTTGAGAGTGCTGAACTTAAATTGGTCACCTGCCCAACCTCTTCCCTTTATTGGATGATTTTATTCAATTCTCCCTGTTCCATTGCCACCTTAACGATCTTTCCAGCTACGTATCTTAAAGGATGTGATGGAGAAGTTGTCAAGTGGTGTTTTTAGGTACGCTAAGTAACCAATTCACTTTTGTTTATTTTTCTATTGTCAAGGAGGTAAGGCAAGCATTTCCGCTTCTGTTGCAATATTCACAGCATACCTATTGCCTCCATATTTTTTTATTTTGTTTAGATAAATAGCTGCCCTTTAGTATTTCTCAAAGTATCTTGTGATACACCAGTAAGTATTCCTTAAGATAAAAGTGGCCCATGAGTTCTCCTTAGTCCGTTCCACACAGTACCACACAACCTTTGCTTTTCTCATCACTCTTCCCAAGGCAACGTGAAATAACCAATAGCTGGAGAAGAGGGAAAAGTACAGTTTTGTTTCTTTAAGTTGGCTCTGGGAGTGAATAAAGTAGGCATTTTTCCCCTTCAAAATTTAACCACTTTTAACAGTGGAAATACTAACGGACAAGTTTGTTTGGATTATTTAAAATAATAGAATTGAACTGTAGCAGTTGTCAGCTAGCATCCAATGTGTTCTACTCATCTTCACCTTGACCTCGCTTTTCTAATAATTTCATTCTTCTTCAGGCCTCAGTTGGATGAACCCATTCCGCTGTATGAGGCGAAAGTTTCCATGGAAGTTATTCAGAAACAACAAGGAAGAAAAAAACTAGTTGTTCAATTTTAATTTTGTTCTTTCTCAGACGTCGGTTGGATAAACCCCTTCCAGTACTTGAAGCCAGAATTTCCTTGGAAATTGTTCAGAAAAGTCAAGGAAGATAAAAGCAAGTTGTTCAGTTTCCCTGCTGTGAGTCAAGATGCTCAAAGTTATTTGAAATTTTTGAGAAATATTTAAAAAATTACAGAAACGGTCAAGACAAGTCTATAATTAACATCCGGGAATATTCTGAAGTCCTTTTTGGTTGTTTCCATACATTTGCCTCTATTATAAAATTCTTTCCACGAAGAAACTACTTCCGGGAAAAGCCACGCTACTCTGTTGATAAAGTTGTTAAGTCTTCTGGTATGTCAAAATAACGTTATTACTTTTGTATCAACCCCGCTCTAAATACCTTCCTTAAGCCTTTGCTGTCGTAATTTAATCATTTGAATATATTTTCAAGTCTCAAAAGATCTAGTCCATAGACACCTTAAAATTTTTTCAAGGATTTATTTCAGGGTTTCCTCGGGATCACACAGGACCATCACCATAACCTGCTGGCGGCAGCTGCAGCGTATGGGGGGAAGGGGGCGGCTGCAGTGGCGTTGCACGGGCAGGGGCCTAGGAGGCCGCGCGGCTGATTTCCTGCCAGGGTTCTCTGTTTGGGGCAGGGGGACGGAGGCGCAGGCCCTTCTCTCCAGCTCTGGACGTCGCGATTGCCCTCCGTAAGCTTATCCAAGCCGCAGCACAAGTGTGACCTCTCCTCTTCCTCCGAGTGCCTAGTCCTGAGCTCACGCCATCCCTGCTTCGGACTTAAATAGCGGTCAGCTGTTTCCATGCCAGATAGGGGAGTGCACATCGGTGACCTGGACCGCGTGTTTCCCAGCCACTTGGCATCCTCGACACGACTACGGCCCAGGACGCAGCTGGAGCGCCGGGACAGGGGACCGGACCGCAGAGCGGGGGCGGGGTCTCTCGGGCGGCCGAGGGCGCACGCGCTCGTTGCGCCTCTGGGGGCGGGGCTACGTCGGGGCGGAGCGGCCGCGCGCGCGGGAAGCGCCCACGGGGAGACTGGCCGGCCGACCCCTCTCTCCGTGCCGCGCGTCATGGCCCTCTCGGTTCCCGGCTACTCGCCCAATTTCAGAAAGCCTCCCGAGACGTTGCGGCTCCGGCGGAAAAGAGTCCGGAGCCTCGAGCCCGCCGCCTCACCCGGGGAGCAGCCCGAGCCGGCGCCCCGCCGCGCCGCTCTGGCGGCCGGGCTGCCCCTCCGCCCCTTCCCGGCGGCGGCGGCGGGCAGAGGCGGCGGCGGCCGGGCCGCAGCCCGCAGGAACCCCTTCGCCCGGCTGGACAACCGGCCGCCGGCCGCCGCAGAGCCCCCCGACGAGCCGCCCCGCGGCCAGCAGGAGGCGCCGGACCCGGTGAGTGTCTTGGGGCCTGAGGCGGGGGCCCTCGTTGTGGGCGCGGCTGTGAATTAGGGCAAGTTCTGGCGTTCGCGGGGAAATGGGTGCGGAGAGCGGCGGCCGGCGCGGTGGCGGGGCCCTGAGCCTCGGGCGGCGCCGCTCCGACAGGGCGGCTCTGTGGGAAGGGCGCCCCGCGGGCGGCTCGCGTCGGCCCGTCCTGAGGGGAGCGGAGGGCCCTGAGCGCGCACCGCCCGGTTCCGGGGCGGACGAGGTCGGGCGGCCGCCTCCCCGTGGGGGTTAGGGACCGGTGGGGAGACAGCTCGAAAGACCCTGGAACAACTCGTCCTGGAAGGCCACCGTTGGACGGGACGATCCCTGGAGACCGTCCTTCCCTCCCTTTCTGACGCGCTCGAAAACAACCCTGAGATGGAGGGATGTTGAGGATTCCTGGGGTTCCCAGTTGCTTGGCGTTTTCTTATCCCAAAGCCTTTTCGGATCTTTGGAGTCGAGGTTTCTCCATCAGTCACGAGACGCGCAAAACACCGGCCTTCTCTCCCCCCCCCCCCCCCCCAATTTTGACAGTAAAGTTCAGACACGAAACTGAAGCAAAACACTGATCTACTGAGTTAGGTGCCTGTGGATTCCCTCACTTGGCATTTATTGAGGACCGTGTGTCGGGTGAGGCTCTGTACGTCTTCAAACCCCTGCATCATTTACGATTCAAAAGGTCCATTCCTTCCCCCCCTCCCCCCCAGGGTTTAGCTTCTAATCAAGAAAATGATTTGCCCTGGGAAGAGAAGTCCCCTGGAAGAAGCGCCCTTGCGGAGTCACTCCAGGTAATAGGGGTTTTTTGTTGTTGTTGTTGTTTTTATATTTTTATGTATTTCTAGGAGAGAGAGACAGCGTGAGCAGGGGAGGGTCAGAGGGAGAGGGAGATACAGACTCTGAAATAGGCTCCAGGCTCTGAGCTGGCAGTCAGCACAGAGCCCGACGAGGGACTCGAACCCACGAACTGCGAGATCATGACCTAGGCGAAAGTCGGACGCTTATCCGACTAAGCCACCCAGGCGCCCCCAGGTAATAGTGCTTAAACGTCATTGGAATGTGTGTTCTCATCATCTAAATTCGTCGCTCTCCGCTCTCTGAAGCATTGACTTGGAAAGTCGTTTGGCAGTGCTGACCTCGTAAGGTGACCACCTTTAGGAGGGTGGAAGAGATGGCGTCAGCACTGGAACGGCCTCGGGTGGTGTAGAAATGCTGTTTGTTACGGTACCATGGCTAAGGTGGGTGTAGACTGAGGATTTCCTGCGACCTCCAGCAGTTTTGTAACCATTCCTCTGTGGGTGGCGCCAGCTCCAGCTAGCTGGTCACTCCACACTCAGCTGCTTTTTGAACTTCATCCTTAGCAGAATCTTCAGACTCCATCCCCACGTGACCTCCACAGGTTGTGGCAGATCACTCACCCTTGCTGACCCCGCCCTCCCACCACACACACATGGTTTTGATTCCATTCCCCAGGTACTCCTGTTGTGATAGTTTAACAAATGCATAGGGGTGCCTGGGTGGCTCAGTCAGGTGTTGGATTTCAGCTCAGGTCATGATCTCAAGGTTGGTTCCTGAGTTCAAGCCCACATCAGGCTCTGTGCTGACAGCTCAGAGCCTGGAGCCTGCTTGGGATTCTGTCTCTCCCTCCTGTTTGCTCTGCCCCTCCCCTGCTCACACTCTGTGTCTCAAAAATGAATAAATGTTAAAAAGCAAAACAAAACAAAAACAAATGCATAGTTTGTCCTAATAGGAGCAGACTAGAAGAGCCCTCTAAGATCCAGTCTCCCTTTCTTGTAAGTAGAAGGTCTTCACAGAGTCTGTTAGAAATAGTTCCCCCTTCCCAGTTATTGTTTGTGATGCCACCTTAAAGAATCATTGTAAAATAGAGAATATTGACTTGAAAGTACAGCAAAACAGTTTGGAAAGAAATTTTTGAGATCAGGAACTCCTTCTCACATAAACGGTCTCTATGAGCCCTACCTAAGTTACCTGCAGGAGCAGCTTAGCCCTGGTTCCAGAGTTTTAGAGGCTTAGAAGGTGCTTTTTAAAATCCTTGGAAGATTTCTGCTTTGATAGCGGTATCAATTGTGGATTTGATTGTTTTTTAATTATGATCATGGAAATAGTATATGCATCTTATAACTAAACTATATAAAGCTAAAAGGTAAAATGTAACCCTTCACCACCACCGCCTGTATAAATTCCCACTTCCCAGAGAAAACCACCGTCAAATCTGAGTGTACCTCTCGAGGTTTTCATAGCGTGCAGTATATTTTCAGTGTAATTATAGTTTATAAAATTTTGATATTTCAGTGATCATGTTGATAAAATCTGTGGATTGAAGGCGGTTTTTTTGGTACACTCTTAATTTTTGTCTTCTTTGTTTTCTAAAAGACTCCACAAGTATCATTCTCCGAATCTGATATTCCATCCTCAGAAAGTACTGAGTTACCTGTGGACTGGAGTATTAAAACTCGACTCCTTTTCACCTCTTCTCAACCCTTTACCTGGGCAGATCATTTGAAAGCACAGGAAGAAGCTCAAGGTATCATCCAGCATTGTAGGGCAACAGAAGTTACTTTGCCTCAAAGTATACAGGTAATTCTGAAAGAAAATGGTTTTATGTTAAAGTAACAAATTAATTGTAAAATGTACTTCTCGGCAGAATGTCACAGAAATTTCCTTCTGTTAAGTTTTTTTTCTGGCATTTAAAGACACAAGGACTTGGGACATTTTATATTTCCCAAATAGTGCTTTTATACAATTTTTTCTATCAGATTCAATAACTGCCTGTTGAATTTAGAGACCTGTCCCAAGAACTAGTGAATGTTACAGGCAGGAATTATTTAAACTAAACCATTCTTTTCTAGGCCTTTTGAGAAAGAAAATATAAGGGAGAGAAATGAAAAGCTATTGAGTAGGATTGCAAAGGCAGATTTATACTACCGTTTTTCTGACACAATGTTTACTCTTTTTCACACACACTAATTGCGGCTACCTGGTTGATAGACTGTGTAATGTAGAATTCGTGAGTTTTAGAATGGTTTTAGAGAAATGTAATTGCATCGCTTTCAGGTAGCTCATCAACTCAAACTAGGGTAAAAGATACAACCTAAAAGAGGCCTTGGTACTTCTTTTTTAATAAATAGATCAGGATGATATGTGATTCGCATTACCCATTTTCACAAGCTACTATTAAAACACAGTTGTGAGGGGAGAGGAGTTGAACATAGCGTTACTTATATACAATATATATCCCCACCTGTATGTATCCCTACCCTAATCATGACGAAGTTAGTTTTTCTCAGGAGAAGACGAGAGATGGGAGTCCCATCTGTGTTTAAGTCTTTCTTCTGATATGGTACAGTAAGTATTGGCAAGGATAAACTACATTTTAGTATCCATAACAGTTATTAATACTTTCTGATAGGAAGCAGTAAAAATTCTCAGAATAAGTGGCATATTCAGTACTTTTTAATGAAATTTTGTACTTGTAACGTGGCAGAAACTGTGCAATATCATCTCTGGATTTTAGGATCCCAAACTTTCCACTGAGCTCCGATGTGCCTTCCAGCAGAGCCTTATCTACTGGCTCCACCCTGCCTTTCCTTGGCTACCACTGTTCCCTCGCATTGGAACTGATAGAAAAATGGCTGGAAAGATAAGCCCTTGGTCAAATGATGAAACCTTGCAGCACATTTTAATGAGTGATTGGTAAGATTAGTAAAACTTGTGCATCCCATTAATGAATTTTATTTTTTAACAATGTTGTCTCTTTTATTATATAGAAATGGGTGGTGGTAAAAGGATCTCTGTTTCCTTTTGAATAATTTTATCTAAACTGTTAATAGCCAACATTTAAAGTATTAACTTGTTTTCACTCATTATGCAATTGTGGAAGTGCAGTAAGTGTTACGTAAATATATGCAGACATTCTTTTCGGTTACTCCTTGTCAGTGGCTGCTTCCTTTCTCAGCAGAAGCTGCTCAGAGGAAGTTAGCACCCAATTAGCAAGTAAGTTTTGTTTAAAGAAAAAATTACTAGTGATTAAGCGGTAAGCACTCTTTGTTAAAGTATTTAGAAGTCATCAGTGAGTCGCATGACCTGACCGGTTTTAGTCCTTTTAAAAGCCAAGTTAAGCAGATGCCTGGGTGGCTCAGTTGGTTAGGCATCTGACTGTTGAACTCAGCTCAGGTCTTGATCTCAGGGTTGTGAATTCAAGCCCCATGAGTTTGAAGCCTACTTAAAAAATAAATAAAAGCCAAATTTTGTGTATAGTGGCAAAAATTCAAACCATTATAATATTTGTGTTGTGTTTTAAATCAAATGAGTATCAAACTGAATTATAAAAATAATTTTAGGTGTTAAGCTAAATGTATAATAATACCTAAAGAAAATTTTTTTGCTTCATAGGTCTGTGAGCTTCACTTCTCTGTATAATCTCCTGAAGACAAAACTTTGCCCATATTTCTACGTTTGTACCTATCAGTTTACTATCCTGTTTCGTGCAGCAGGCTTAGCAGGAAGTGATGTAATCACAGCTCTCATATCTCCAACAACTAGAGGAATAAGAGAAGCTATGAAAAATGAAGGTAAAACTATAGGTTTAAAATGAGAATGCCACACTATATAGTAAGCACTTTAAAGCTAAAATGTGAGGAGCACCTGGGTGACTCAGTCGAGTGAGCAGCCAACTTCAGCTCAGGTCATAATCTCAGGCTCATGGGTTCGAGCCCCACATCGGGCTCTGTGCTGACAGCTCATAGCCTGGAGCCTTCTTCAGATTCTGTGTCTCCCTCTCTCTCTGCCCCTCCCCCATTTGTTTATTCTCTCCCTCTCTCTGTGTCTGTCTGTCTCTCTCTCTCAAACATTAACATTTTTTTAAAAAAAGCTAAAATGCTGGGGCTCAGTCGGTTAAGCGTCCGACTTCGGCTCAGGTCGTGATCTCACAGTTTGTGAATTCAAGCCCCACATCAGGCTCTGTGCTGAACATTTGCTCAGAGCCTGGAGTCTGTTTCAGATTCTGTGTCTCCTTCTCTCTCTGCCTCTCCTCCACTCATGCTCTGTCTCACTCTGTCTCAAAAATGAAAAGTGTAAAAAAAAAAAATTATTTTTTTTAAAGCTAAAGTGTGAATCGTATTTTTATCAGTTGAATTGTCATTTACCAGTTTTACCCATACTTTTTAAGAAATATCGGAGCACCTGGGTGGCTCAGTCAATTGGGCGTCCAACTTCAGCTCAGGTCATGATCTCACAGCTCATGGGTTCAAGCCTCAAGTCAGGCTCTATGCTGACAGCTAGCTCAGAGCCTGGAGCCTGCTTCAGATTCTGTACCCCCCTTTCTCTCTGACCCTTCCCTGCTCACTCTGGTCTCTGAGCACTCTGTCTCAGAAATAAAACCTTTAAAAAAAATAATTTTTTTTTTCTTTATTTCTGATTTTATTTTCCAGTGATCATTTAAGCAGTCTCTTAAATTACTTAGCTTTAAGTTATTTACTTCCTTAGCTTTCCATCTCTGATCTGACAAACACATACTGGACTAGAAAGTTTCCATCTGAATAGAATTCCCTAGAAATTCCTTTATAGTACAAATTACCGACCCCTTTTTAAAAACATAATTTTCAAACTGGGTCAACCCATTAATGCTCATGAAATCTATTTAGTGGGCTCAATCAGCACTTTTTTAAAAAATGAAACCGTATGGGGTGCCTGGGTGGCTCAGTCAGTTGAATGTCTGACTCTTGATTTGGACTCACTCAGGTCATGATCCCCAGGTCATGGGACTGAGTCACTCATTGGGTTTTGCCCTGAGCATAGGTTTTTAAGGGTTTTTTTTCTGTCTCCCTCTGCCCCTCCCCTGCTGACTGACTCTCTCTCAACAAAAGAAAAAAAAAAAAACCGAGTAGAATGTACTTCAGGAAAGAGTACCACATGTAATGAGAGTATGTATTGTTTCCTCAACCTTTTGTTTCAAGGAGAGAGAGAGAGAGAGAGAGTGTGTGTGTGTGTGTGTGTGTGTGTGTGTGTGTGTGTCTGTCTGTCTGTCTGTCTGTCATGGGCTATTATCAAGAAAGTTTGAAAGCTATTGCCTTAATAGAACAAGTATAAAAACTCAAAAACTTCAAATGTGATACTCTAAAAGGCCACACCTGTTAAATTCTTTTGGACCATATTATATATTAATGAAAACTCAGTTAAATTTTTCTTTTCTTTACTCATGTAGGTATTGAGTTTTCTCTGCCGTTAATAAAAGAAAATGGCTATGAGAAGAAAAAGCCATCTGGAACAAGCTTGGGAAATGGGGAGTATGTGATTAAAATAATCTTTTACATCAACCAGTGACTTGTGGACTCGGTGCAATAGTTTTGTAGAGGAAACAGCTTTATGAAATGGAAACTCTAACTATAACAATTTCCTAGGGAACAAGTAATCAGTGATGATGATGAAGACGAAAGTTTTTCCTGGCTGGAAGAGATGGGTGTGCAAGATAAAATTAAAAAACCAGACATACTCTTTATCAAGCTGTATCCTTTCAGTTGTGTTAACTAGAATTGATTTTCCTCGAGTTAAGTTAGTGATCAGTGTAATGTTCTCAATTTTATTTGACTGTAATCTTAAATTATTTTAAGTTGCTATTTAAACTGATTCTCTATCATGACATTAAAAAACTCCCTAAGTACCAGTAAACCATGAACAATTACTACTAAACTGTTTTTTAAAAAATGAAAACATTACATTTAGAACATATTTTTAACTAGAGAAGAAATTTGTTTTGTTAGGTATCAAATTTCTGGCAAATTCAGATGGTCAAAGAAATTGTTTTGATTTAAATATTGCAGCTAAGTGGGGTAGCAAAACATTTCCAGTTCTGAGTGGGAGGAAAGGGTCCCAGGTGAATCAGAATCAGGATGACTTTGTCCCGCTGGTATGGGATTTACAAGTTCCTTGACTGTCGTCTTCAGACGCAAAGAGAAACACGAAGTGCAAATGGACCACAGACCAGAGTCTGTTGTGTTGGTGAAGGGAATGAACACCCTTACGTTGCTGAATTTCTTGATCAACTCTAAGAGTTTAATTGCTAGCTCAGGCCCACAGACAGGACTGCCACCAACCCTCTTATCCCCTGTAGCTTTCCGAGGTGCCACAATGCAAATGCTTAAGGTAATGAAAGGGGAAAAAAATTCTAATCTTCATAAACTAGCTTTATAAGAAGAAATGAAGAACAAATTCTTGATTTGTTTTTAGTAACTCCTAGCATTTTGCATGATGTGCATATTGTTTTCCTTTCCTCCCAGTAAAAGAATTTGTTGATGTGTCAAAAGAATTATGTGAAAATATGAATTATATGAAATGTTTTATTTGAATTATATGAAAACAGTTTTTCTGACAATATGATTGACAACAAAAGCACCTTGGTGTTAATTTCCTTTTTTCCCATATGGAAAAGTTGCTTAATCTCATTTTGTCTTATTTCTTAACCAGTCAAAGAACGTAGCCAAGCAGGTTACGTTAAGTTACAGATTTCAAAACCTATTATCATGGATAAGTGAAAATAGCTGTCTGTCCACGTTGTTTAAAAAAATTATACATATAAATACAAAATATATACTGAACGTTAGAATTGAATTTTTATTTCTGTCCAGTACTCTGCATCGAAAACATACTACTGAATTGGCGTGGGAGGACGAGAAAGGGTAAAGGGGAGTGGGAGGTCTGTGCTTCCAGTTACAGAGTAAGTCGTGGGGATGAAAGAGCAGTGTAGGGCGTATATCAGTGCCGCTTTTGCGTTGTATGGGGACAGATGGTAGCTACACTTGTAAACACAGCATAATATGTAGAGTTGTAGAACCACTGTTGTATGCTTGAAATTAATGTAACATTGGGTGTCAACTTCCATTAAATTTTTTAATAAAAATATATAGATCAGGATACCATATGAAAAATTGTATTGTGTAGAATATAAGGAGACTGAGTCATAATTTGGAAACGTGCTACAGATGGAGAATTAACATTTTTACTCATATAACATTCTTTTTATGTCTTATGAACTACTTTATGCTATACTCACAAGTGTAGTAGTTCCTATCACCGTGCTTTTATAATACCAGTGATTGTATGACCTCTATGCTCTACCTTTTAGTCTAGAACTGTTAAAGAGGGAAACCCAAAAGAAAAGTTACTGAAGAAATCTTTAGGGACAAAACCTTGAGAGATGGTGACCATAATTTTTTCCTTAAATTTTCTTGAAGGCACGAAGTGTAAATGTGAAGACACAAGCTGTTTCTGGATACAAAGATCAATTTAGTTTGGAGATTACAGGTCCTATCATGCCTCATTCTCTACATTCTGTGACCATGCTACTCAAATCTTCACAGAATGGGTCATTTTCTGCTGGACTGTATACACATGAGCCAACTGCTGTATTTAACATCTGCCTGCCAGTGAATAAAGTACTGCCTGAGGTAAGCAGACAGCTGTAAGCAGATTTCATTGTGGCTAGTTCCCTCAGATGGAAGAAATAAGTGATTTGCAGTGAACCAGACTTGTATCTCAGGTTATTAAACTGTACTATTTAATCAGGTTATTAAACTGTACTATTTAATCAATCACAGTGACTAAGATTAAGGCATAAGGTCTGGGTTTTGGGGAGTAAATTTTATAAATTTAGATTTTTGTACTAATAATGACTAAATAACTTCCCAAACAAAAAGAAAAGGCAGGTTATTTTCATAGCCATTTCAGATCCAGAACTTAATACTGCTGGGTTCCTTTATTCTAAACAACTATGGGCACTTAACCAGTATTTGCCTTTAATTTTAGACATAGTGAGGTTTTCATTCATGGGTTGTTAATTAAGACCTTTAAAATTGCCTCATGCTCCTATGATTTGTGAGATTTCTAAAAATAACCAAAACTGTATTTCTGGATGCTGTTGGTAGAGGTGAAAATTTTTCGGGTCAACTTCTGTTGATAATGAACTGCCTTTATTTCATCAATATGAATAGGGCATCTATTTGCCAAAGTTCCAGTGGTTCTGAGTGTTCAAGGGTGCCTGGCTGACTCCGTTGGTAGAACATGTGACTCTAGCTGGCGTCATGAACTCAAGCCCCACTTTGGGGCTGGAGCCTCTAAAAGATAAAGCGGCTGGCTCACCCTTTTTACCAGTGAGGAGTTCAAGCCCCACACTGGGTGTAGAGATCTCTAAAAATATATACTTTAAAATCTTTTGAGTGTCCAAAGACTGATGTGCTCTTTACTAACTTGAATGCAAATTTCCATAGGAGACTCTTCATGAGGAGCTTGGGAACTGTGGGTTGCATCCTAAGACTCTGGACCAACTTAGTCAAACACCAGCACTGGGAAGATCATCTTTACGGCATGTGGAATTGAGTGACTTCATTTATAATTGGAGAACCTGAACACCAAAGTAAGCCTAAAAGGAATCTTTGAGGAAAAAGCCTTCTAACAAGGAAATTCAAGATTCTTATACCTTTGGCTCTAAAGTTCATTTTGGAAGTTAAAGGAATAGAACTTTAAAATATTCAAATGTTGATAAATATTAACCTTTGGCCTTAATTTTTATTACATGCATTAAGCAGAAGGATAAAGGTTTTAAATCAACATTTTGTTTTTACTCTTCTGATTAGATAATTCAGGTATAAAGAGAACTTCCAACTTTTTAAAAATCTCAGTACCTTGAATGAGACTTCCAGACCCCTACAACCTAATTATAAGCTGAGTAGAAAACAAGATTGTTAATGTCAGTGTTTCCTTGCAAATGGGATATTGAAGTGAAATTAGTATCAGTTATCTCCTGGCATTTTGTGACTGGTGGCATCAGGGCAAAACTATATTTGACAACTTACCTACAATCATATACAGGTTCTAGCTTTATAAAGATACAAATGTAGACAAGATCTACTGAGCTAATTGTTGATGTGTCTACCTTAGTTGCTTTCGTTCTCATTTCTAATTTCTCTATTCTCAAATACATTAAATTTGTTTCTTTAATGCATGTTAATTCAAAGAAGGGTATTTTGTATTCCACATAGAATAGTGTTAATTGTAAAGTATGCTCAGCTGTCATGGTAAAGGAGTATTTAATGTTCTTGTAGGTATTTGCGTGTGCGCGAGTGTGTGTGTGCAATTCCAATTTCCTTAAAATAAAAGGATGTAGAGATCAAAAGCACTGGGTAAAGAAATGAAATGACAGTATTTAGTGAAGAAGTATGTGTTCACTTTATGATCCAAAAAATAAGACACCACATTTATTCCAGAGAAGTTTATATTTGGGCCTTAAGCTTTTGAAAATAAAGTTTAGAGACATAGCATTATGAATACCACTGTAATACACATGAAATATTCTATCAGACCCTAAAAATTAACATAAACTTAAACTTTCTCATAGTCAACAAAATAGTGGCTGGGTGCCGATTTTATTAGATAAGTTGGTTACAGCATTTTAATTATCATTTAACGTCTACCTAGGTGTAGATGAAATTCAAAATGCACATCAAAGTAAAACTATATCACAACTCAATGCCATACTAAATGTACTTGGCCTCTGCAGTAGAATTCTAATCGGACTTCATTTTGACTCCCTTCTCATGGCCCAAGTGGCTTTGATGGGAACGCAGGACTTAGTGCTGATCATCACATAACATACCACTTCTTTTTATAACCTTTACAAAATTTTAAGGGGAGATGGTGGCATTAGCCCTGTGGAACAGATCTTGATTACCTCAATAACACTGGCCCAGTATCTGTCCAGCAGAACCCATTGTGAACTAGTACAAGGTGCACAGCCCTTCACTGATTACAGGCAAGTGTTACAGCAGCCTAGCCATAAGGAAGGGAGGTTACATCATAGTACAAAATACAGTATAAAAGCGTTATTTAACATTCCACACTGAAGATTACGGATGCCTTCAAACAATCGTTTGGATGTTAGCCACTTAAACAAATACATCACTAAGGTAAACAATATAAACATACCAAAACCCTGTATGGTTAAATACAATTTCCATGGTACAAAAATCAAAGCCTGGAGATGTTTGTACAGATTGCTTTTTACACAATGTCTTAAATTGCCAAATATTTACAACATTAAAGAGGAAATACATTTTGATGCAGAGTAAAATTATCTGAAATGATTAATATAAAACCTCAATCTATCTACGTGAGGCACTCCTGAAGCAAGTGGCATTAGCCATGAGGTCCTTTGGTACAAGGCCCATTGCTTGAAGAACCACAGTAGCTGCTGTGGCTTTAGCATGCTTCTTATTAGGGCTGGCAAAGCTGGGCTGGTAAGCGCTTCCATTTATCAATACCTATTCAAGAAAAACATACAATTGGGCTGGTAAGGGCTTCCATTTCTCAATACCTATTCAAGAAAAACATACAATAAGAACAGCATCAAACTTTAATATCTATTAGCTTTGTATTTTTTCACTAAATGCTAGAAAAATAATTCACAAAACTATAAAACCCATACTATGGAAGCCACATTAATCTCAACCCAGAAGAAGCAAATCACTTGGGAAAAGGGACTGCAAATTAAGGCCTCCAAATTGAGGGGCAAGGGGTCATGGAGAAAACCCTGATAAAACTAAATAAATTTCCCGTGTTCCACTAGAAAATGTCAACAAAGTTTTCACCAGATTTTGCCATCTTTCCCTCCAACGTTTTTGAAAAATAGGACATTAACAGGTCATACTAGAGTATACTTAAAATTTTTAAAACCCTACCAATTCTACCCACATATATATTCACTCCCAACCCACAATTTATCAATCCTGTGAGACGACAGGCTTTTCCCTCACCCTCTAAGTCATCAAATTAACAGGGGTATATAATTAATGCAGAAATTTATATTTACCCTAAAGAGAAAATGTTTGCGGTGATCAGGGCCACTATCATGGACCAAGAGAAATTCTGGTGGTTGCCACCTTCTCTTATTACAGATTTCCATCAAAGCAGACACAGGATGTTTGCCTGCAAAGAAAAAAAATAACCAGTTAATTATTTCCATTGTCTATGGCAGCAGATTATAAATTCAAGAAAGGGATGGGACAAGAGGAAATTTAAATGTACTCTCACCTGACAGATCTTTCATTGCAGCAGAGAAGTTCCCAGACCTCTTTTGTGCTCTTTCTCCTACTGCAACAAGACCTTTAAAATCAAAAGCCAATGTTCACTGAAGAAATTCCAAAGCATCATTTGATACTATAAATACAATGGTTCCCTCCGTAGGAACCTGAATCTCAGTAAAATCTTCAACTCCCACTACCCTTGATGTTTATATAATTTGCTTTCTATTTTGCTATGTTTCAATATATAAATCTTTATCATGTACCTTGGTATTAGAAACTATAAAAAATCAAATGTTCAGAAAACACAAAAACCTAGTATATGAATATATATACAAATTAAGGGCCACAGTTAATTTCAAGTGTATTTCTTTGTAAGTTTAAAAACTAGTGGCTTTGACAAGTGCAATCTAAAGGCTTCCCACTTAAAAAATGATGGCTCAGTTAAGTTCCCCAAATGGTGAGGACCACATTAGGCCACATTCCCCCCCAAAATTAAAAGAGCTTGTCTCAATAGATTAGGGGGTCCATTTTATCCCCCAGTAAACAACCACTTTCTGACTTATCAAGTGAAGATATTCACAAAAGACAAACAATCTCACTGTATAACTAACTCCCCACTTCCAAAAGGATTTAGCTGTGTCAGTATCCAAAATCAATGTTTGCCTGCCTTTCATTTCTCCTAGGGGAAATTCTTCAATTCATTAATTCTGCTAGTATGCTTCTCCAAAACCCAACACCTAATTCCAAAGACGATGTTCCCTGGAATTATGCAATGCCTCAACAGAGGTTTTCTTTCAACAAATCACCTTTTAGGGCACAAAACATCTATTCAACTTATTTAAGTAATACAATGTCAATGTGACATAATCAGTACAATGTCCTTTTCTAATTTAGAGTTTAACGCTATAGCACAGGATGATTCTCATGCTATTTCCAGCCTACTTGGAATCATTACAATAAATTTCCCCCAATGTGGCAGAAAAATGGCATCACAGTATTCAATGTGGATGACAATGTAGAATTTCTAACACAAAACATTTTATAAGACAGTTTTGTCAGAGGTAGTTGGTTTCCAATTAAGACAATAATTTAACTACATCAACTTCATTCAATTCTCTGATTACAAAGATGAAAATTCTAGTTTTCAACTTTACAGTTTTTACAAATCAGGCTTATACAAGCTATTGAAATCACATTGCTTGAAATCATACTGAGCTGACATTGAGCCACTTGACTTAGAACATTATTCCAAGAGAAGAATTTAAAAGCAGCTGCTCAACTATTCTCCATCCCCAATCTAAGAAAACTCAATTATGGAGCTTAAAAAGAGGGACATGCAGAGGCACCTGAGTGACTCAGTTAAGCATTCGACTCTTAGATTTCGGTTCAGGTCATGATCTCACAGTCTGTGGGTAACGGCCCCACCTTGGGCTGTGTGGTGACAGCACAGAGCCTCCTTGGGATTCTCTACCTCTCTCTCTCTCTCTGCCCCTCCCCCACTCCCTCAAACTTAGAAAAAAAGAGGCGTGCAAAAAAGGGTTTATAAGGTGAAGACAAAACAGCACTCATTAATAAGAAATAAGGAGAATATGTGAGATAAGATACTTGAGAGGAAAAAAAAAACCCTAGAAATAAACACAAGTGTATGTTCCCCATTAAGAGAAAGCAAAACACTGAGATCAAGGGGTCGCCTGGGTGGCTCAATCAGTTAGACGTTCGTTGACTTCGGTTCAGGTCATGATCTCATGGTTCATGAGTCTGAGCCCCGCTTCAGGCTCAGTGCTGACAGCTCAGAGCCTGGCGCCTACTTCACATTCTCCGTATCTCTGCCCCTCCCCAGCTCATACTCCATCTCTGTCTCTCAAAAATGAATAAATGTTAAAAATAAAAATGAAATCTAGTTAAATTTACTTATCCATTTAGCATCTTAACTACAACTGCCTTTTAAAAGCCCCAAATTAGTGACTCTATCTTTATGTATACAAGCTGCCACAATGGGTTAAACTTTTGTTTCCTAAAAAACAGCTGTATATATGCTCCAGTTAAGCATTAAGGACATCAAAATGTAGTAAGATTATTTTATATATTTAAAAATGGAGCTCCTGGTTGGCTCTGTTGGTACAGCATGTGACTCTTGATCTCAGTCAGGATCATGAGTTCAAGCCCCATAGTGGGCAAAAACTTAAAAAAAATCTAAAAAGGTAATGAAACCCTAAATGTTTTTTTTAAATGTTATTTATTTTGCGGGGATGAGGGGGTAGAGAGAATCCCAAGCAGGGTCCACGATGTCCGCACAGAACACAAGGCTTGATCTCCCAAACTGCGAGACCATGACCTGAGCCAAAATCAAGAGTCAGATGCTTAATTGACTGTGCAACCCAGGAGCCCCGAAACCCTAAATATTAAAGGAGGTGTAATAAACATTCCCAGAACAATGTGTTACCTTTTCGGTCTGTCTTAAAATCAACTAGGATAGGTTCTTTATTTCCTTCTTTGTTTTTTCCTAATCCTTCTCCTTCTCTCCAGCCCATTTTTCTCATCAAAACGGCTCCCATTCCTCCAGTTACTGGGGCTGCTCTTAAGAACTGATCCTATCCAAAGAAAGAAAGGTAAAATGTCCCCATTTCACAGTTAGAATTTGACTACAAACGCAGTGTAACTTTAAGAATCTTATTTTAGTTCTAGATCTCTGATATAGCAATTAAATTTTAAGTTTCTATACTTATATACATACTGTAGTGTGGTTGCTAATTATTTTCACGTTAACATAATAGTATTTTGAAAGTCAAATAAGGCAAATAAATGGCAGTTTAAAACAGTGGCCCTCCTGCCCCCCTCCAAAAACAAAAAAATTAGAACACTCCTGTTTTCGTCCACTATTTAGGTTCACTGGTATCTCTTCTTAGCTTGCAAAATAAAAAGAAGGCAATGTTAAAACAGTCAATAATATTAATTGTCCCAGGTGTACCTAGTTAATGAATAAAGCCCAGAAATCATTTAGAAATAGTTTGGACACTGAAGAAGCATACTGTTAACATCCCAAGTTTTCTTTCCCACTCTACCTTAAAGCAAGTATATTTTACTTAGAAAATCCCTATGAAGCAAAAAGACAAAAAAATCTTTAAATTCTATTTACACAGTAAGAAATGGACAGTCACATAAAATACCCTGTCATTATACCAAACTGAATCTGAATTCTTTTAAATCCTAGCTTGATGTTAAAAGACTTTTAAAAAACTCCTTAAACGTTTACATACCTAGGCCTCGGTAGCAGCAGTGTTGTGAATAGTAGGGCTGGCACTGACCGGGGCAAGAAGACAGCTACAAGGATTTGGCCCTGAAACAAGTTTCCATACAGAGGGGTGAAAGTTCACAGGTTATTCTGTGAACAGTCATCTCTCTTGAATCCAACCCACTGAACCATAATTTCCATCAAAGCAGCAAACCACTTAATGTCGTAAGATGCACAACTATATACATTAGCATGGTCAACATTTCCACACGTTAAGAAATAAATATGTGATGTCTCTATTTTAAAGGACATCCATGTACACAGAACAGACGAATTCTACTGTTGATCTTTACTGGCCATTTTTCTTTTAATTTATAACATCTCAAAATCATGCTTTACTTCCCCTTGTTCTCAAGTGTTAGATTTATGTTCTCTAGCAAATATATAGCAAAAGCCATTAACTTATCAACAGAGGGAGTCAAAAATTTGGTACCTCTGGAAAGAGTATGCATTAATCATTTCCTGTATTGATAAGTTAATACTAAATTTTGAAAATCTTACTTTTACACAGTATTAAACTGTATAGTCTCATTTTTCCCCCAGCTTTGTAAATTATATGCTCGGGAGAAAACATGCCAATGATGTGTGACTAGACATTAAGTTCACCAAGGTGCTCTGATGGAAGGAGGCAGCTGTGGAGGTAAAAACATACCCCTGGTTCAGTTCCTTATTTGGTGCAGGCCATGCAGTGTTGATGTATAAAGAGAAAAGTTAGCTGATGCTCGGATATCAACTGCCTTGTTGCTACACACCTAAAATGACTTTTACTTACTTCCAGGTTCATCCGCCCCTCTTTTCCAGGCAACACTCCTAAAAAAAAGGGCAACTGTGCAGAGTATAATACAAATCCCCAAATAACCCAGGCTTCCGACTCGGTTTCCATTCTCTACTATCTTCATGTTTCTTTACCCCAGGTGTGTATACAGTTCACCAAAAAGCTGCTTAATCTAGTAATAGTAAATAATACCCATCGGGTCATGTCCAAATCATTTAATTCCAGAAAATAAAGGTTCATAACCACTTAAAAATGTCTTACAAATAATAATAATGGTAAAACTCCCATTCTTTTTCATCTAAGAATATATTGCAACAGACTAAAAATGAGTATGGAGTATGCAGGCATTCTACATGCTCTTTAACATAAAAAGAGGGTGTTGGCTAGAGCAAGGGAAGAAAAGCTAAATGACCACTGAAAGTTTTCTAAACACAACAAAGAGACTGTTTTGTGATATCTGACAGTGAAGATAAATGATAAATTTTCAGCTGTCTAATGACTTTTCCACGTTTTTATAAATGTCCATTCCTTTCTTGATATTGTAACAAATATTCTTCTGTAAACATAGAAGTAGGTGTTTTCCTGAAAGCATTGCTTTCTTATTATTTAAAAACTTTGATGAACGCATCTCATAATTTATCAAAATGACTTACATGTACATTTAAAATGATGTGAATTATTTAAAATCTGTCAACTGCCTACATGACTGGGAATCAAAAACTTAAGGGAAAGTTTCCAAGGAACCAATTTTAATCAGTAGGAGATTCATTTTTGCTAGCTTTGTTAACATGATTCTTAGAACTATGTAAGTATTATGGATCAGCATTTCATTAAATGAAGACCAAAATTTTACAGTGGAATCACATTCAGAAGTTTCTACCTAGTAATGTACAGGACTATTTAATTTTTATTTGCCTAAACACCCACGGAAGCTTCAAGTCTAACTTCCTGAACTACTGAGACTCGAGCTTCAAGATTTAATAGTATTAAAGAATTAAAACTACTGAAATAGGTGTATATATTTATTATAATTCTTCCCAATGAGATGAAAGCCATCTTCAAACACTATACAAATCACTCTACTTTTAATACTGTAATTAGCCCAAAATGAACTCAAGATTAAAAATACTCTTGGTGGATTTTCCTTTTTTTCCCCAACACCGAGCCATAGTAAACTACATAAAAGTTGTAAATTTTTAATGAATCTGGCCATATACTCACTAAACACGTATTAGTGTACCTAAATGTACCAAAAATGGCAGGTAAACTGAGGATATATCATGTTTTATATTAATTTGTTAATAAGAGGATCATCAGAGATAATGCTATAAAAACTTAAATGTTAGAGATTAAAAGATCCGAAGCAACCAAAATCTCATTTTGCCGAAATTCAGCTCATTCCCTTTCAACCATAGCAATTCTCCATAGGTGTCCATCACATTATTAATTACCACCCTGTGAAGCGGTAACAAGGACTTGTCTTCTCATGACACTTGGGAAACTGAAATTCCAAGTAATTACTTGCCCATCATCACAAAAGCAGGCAGGAGTACAGCGGGATAAAGAAACCTTCCCAATCCTTAGACCACGCAGCCTCCGCGTGTCACTGCCATGCTGCCAGTACTCCTGAAACAAATGTCCCATCACCCATCCAACCAAGCCACGCCCCTTCACCAGAAGGCATTTCTTTAGAAAGCCCTTCTTAAGCACCTAAGACTCCCCCAACACTGAGGCAGCCGTAGGTGGAGTTCACAGTCTCACTGCAGGAATCTGAAACCAGGAGCACCTACATCTTCACAGCACGAGGCGTCCGTCCTCTCCCTTGAATTTAGGTCTTACATATCCTGTTTTGTCAGGAGATCAGTGGTTCTCAAATTGAGCCTGTGGATCACCAGAGGCCACCAGGGCCTACATGGTGGTCCACAGAGAGCAGTCTCCATCCCCACTCCGCCCCCTTCACCACCCCTTCAGCACTGCCCGCCACCCCCCACCCGCACAGTCCAGCCATCCGCCCCAGCCTTCCAGTCCCAAGGCAAGATCACCACATGCAATGCTAATACTGGGGCCTCCCAACCAACTTGCTTATGACCGGCAACTGACAGCCACAGGGATCAGGGCTGGAGATCACCAGAGGGGTGAGAAATAAGGGCCGAGAGAGCTTACAAGAGGGCACAGGCACTAAAGAAGGGGAAAGAAGGACAGAGGAACAGAGAAATGAAAGTCTGGGTGGTAAGAGGGCCCTTGGGGGCAGTGATCCACCAAAAATAAACCTGTAATAAAGTATCCCATGAGGAGAAAAAATTTGAGAACCACTGCTTTGAAATCATTAGATTAGTAGTCCAACAGCAACTGTGGAACATTCTGAACAGCACCTGAGATACACTGTTAGCACTCAAAACACGGTTTTAAAAAACCACCCCCAAAAAGACCAGCAGCAACAATAACAAATAACTTCAGGATATCAACGGAGTGGCTCCTGAGCCGTATTTATACATTTGCCATTGTCTCATGAATCAGGTCCATCTTCAGTGTCCATCCTAGAGTATGCACACATAGCAAATTTACTCATGAACTTCGGTTAAAGTCACTGGCCTCTTGGAGCATTTTTAATAAGACATTTTCTAAAAAATCTTAACTTTGTACGTGGACACTTTTGTACGTGCGTATGTTGTGTACCTTTTTAATCCAGGCTTGGGCACCAGTATTAGCCAACTGTTCCTGTGTCAGAACCTGTACTCCTGTGCTTCCGGTGAACTGGCCAGGAATGGAGTTCAGCTGAGCCCAGGCATCAATCTGAAGAAAAAAAAAAGACGCCTCAATTAACTAAATAAAATTACTTGTCTAGTCAAAAATGCCACTGGTTTATTTCACTAAATGAAATGGTTTTATTTAGTTCTTGAATAGTCTACATAAGACTTAAATATTCAACTTTTAAAACAATTTGATGAATTTGTATGTATTAAAAATATTTTCTTAAAAGAAGCACTTTCATAACAGTCAGTGGATCCCATTAATAATAAGATTTGAGATGTACCTAACAATTAAAAGCATTAACTATAATACTCATTCTCCAAAATAGCACATGGATACATGAATGTAGGAAAGAGCTTTATACAGCACAGGATCCCTGCCCTCTGCTTATGTACCTCATGGAAATGCAATCTAATAAATGTTATGATCACCTGAATTTTTTAATTAATTACATTCTTTGTTGTATTAGAAATCCAGAATTCAAGAGGCATGCTTAAGGAGCTTTCTTTAAAAACTGATCACCATGTTTCTTTACAAACAATCACCAGCATTTATTGTGATGGTTAAAAAATAAGTTGTCAGTCCTTCAAAGTATATTTACTAAACGCTGGTATTGTCAGGTAGTGTATTTACCTGTCTGAACATGTATTTGTTGTTTCTATATAGATCTACCATGGGAATGTAGAAGAAAATGGAAAAGCTGTCCACTGTTAGACTCTGGACTCAGACTGCCTAATCACTTTTTTTTAATTCCAGTGCAGTTAATGTACAGGTTAACTAACCACTCGTTACTCAGTTTCCTCAGCTGGAAAATGTGAAATCTTAATAGTACCTATATCTCACAGAGCTAAAATGGGCACATAGGTACTTTTATACACCAGATTACAAACTCTGTAAGAGTGGGGCATTTTCTTCTATTTTAACTCTCTTTAACATTAGTTCTTGCCACACAGTAAACAGTGACTGAATGACTATGTCCCAAATCACTTTCATTTAAAATTAGCTAATTAAAATGAATTGCTTATTTCCTTGAATTTTTAAGGACCTACATTTCAACAGCACGCCACAGACTTTATGACACAACCATCTAATCAGTTAAATCCTCATTTAGCAGACATTAAAACTGCTACATACCCTTTCCTGAGCTCGATTTAACATGCTCATGGCTTCAAGGTCAAATGCATTCTCACTGAGTCTTTTCTGAGCAAGTGCCCGCTCACTCATTGCTGTAGAGATGTCCACAGGCTAAGAAAGAAAACATAGATAATTATCTCAAATTATGATAGACCCCCTAAATTCTAAAAAGTGCTCCTATCTTTAGTTGCTACATATCAAAAATGAGATAGTCATCTTACATATTAATAATCTGATAAAGTACAGAAAAGATGCCAAAATGTAAAGGAACCTTGGAAAGCAGATGATGAATTTAAGGTAAGTTACAAAGTATCAGAGGCAGCAGCTGAACTCAACCCAACATCTGAACTTCAAATTTCCTATTTTCTACTGTATCTAATTACTATAACTGAAAATTGCACAAAGAACTTAAAACTCTCTAGCCTTCACTTAGAAAAGTCATATACAAAAAACTGATAATTTCTGAACTGTTTGGAACTATTAATCTTATATTCATTAGCAGTTTTCATTTTACCCTATTTCTTTTTAGCATAATGTTCAGAAGCAAAAAGGGTCTTAAGTAAGCAAGCAGAAAACCACTATCAGGTCAGTTGATCTTTTACTCATGTGTACCTCTTTTCACCTTCTTGCAGTTGCTGAGAGATAGTTTGGTCTTAAGAACGCCATTTCTTCAAAGAATATATTTACTATATACATAAACGACTCCTTTGTTTTCAGTTTATATATATTTATGACCCAAACTGAAAGAGAGCTCTGTGAGGTACATAACGACATGAACCAACACATTTAAAATGATGTATGTCTAAAGTGGCTTAGGTCCTCCTTTTCAGCTCATAACCCACCTGTAAAAACTTTACGCTAAGCAGAGGTGACTTTATGGTTTAACTTTTTAAAATGTTTCATAATCTCCAGAAATATTCTTAAAGAACAAATCCTCAATTTATCAGGTTTGTGGAAGACTCAACCATAAAAGGAAAAACACATCAAGTAAGTATTTGATGTTCTTTGCTCTGATGTTAAGAGTTCATGTTGATTTGTATCAACTCACCCATTCTTATTACTTATTTTTCTTTGAACACAACCCATTAGTATTTTCTTGTGATTTCACCCAAGAAAATTCATTTTTGGAAAATGGCATGAGAAGTTCTTATATTCATATGCAAAGAATGATTAGAGGTACTGCATGGATAGGACAAATAAAAGGAAGTCAGGAAGATAAATCAACAGCTAAGGATTTTTCTTAAAGCTAAAGGCTACCTGTAATTTAACTATGTACTGCATATGAAATGCTTCTTGTAAAATAAAGAACTAAATAGAAGAGAAGGGTGTATGACTATAAGAGAATAATTCTGCCTCATGCATAAGTATTACCAGTCTTCCTTTTTCTACCTTCAGAATCCCTTATTCTTCCATCATTCATTATCTTGCTAAATCACCTCATAATATTCCTCCAGCAAAATTACATTTTTTTCTTCCACATAGATTCTTATGTATTGCCTTCTTAAAACGAAAGCAAAACTAAATTCATTCTGTAATAGCCTAACAGACTATTTATAGATCCCATGAACGATCTTAACAGTCAATGTAGTAAATTATCCGCACTAATTAGAATATGTCCAGGGCCTATAAAAAAACATAATCTAAGCAGTCACAAACACTAAAAAACTAAGGGTCTTCACTTTTCACTTTTAAGATAATTCTGATCATCTTCTGGGACTTTAAATAAATGGGAACCCAAATATCTCAGGCCAAAATTTACATTCCTTTGGCCTACCTTACATGTTTCCTAAAACTGTCAGATAGGACTATCTATGTAATTTGAAAGCCCAGCAATTATATCTGTTCATTAACCTTGTCCAAATTACTTTGAGTAGCATTCTATGAATCTTTGAGGATGTTTAGGTATAAATAATAGGCTTTTATTCTAAAAAGTCTAAGCTTAGAGGAGATAATGTGGAAAATCGATCTACCAACCACTCCAAGCCCTGATCCCCAAATTTCCAGCTATCAATTTAGCCATGAAAATGTAAAGATGGCTCTGAATGCTTCCAACTTTTCTAGAATAAAATTCTTCCCAATTAGGAAACAAATGAATACACACCTATCTATGAATCCCTCCTTCTGATGACACATCTTCATATATTTTTTAAGTCCTTAAGCAGATAACCTAAATGCCTCATCATTTATCCCCAGGATGAAACTTCATTCAAATCTCAGTAACATTTTGTTAAATTCACATCTCACTCTGAAAAAAATTTTAATATAGCATCCTTGATGTTTAAAATAAATTTATTTCAAAATAAATAAAACAAAATAAATTTATTTCATATAAAATTACTAGTTATTTTCCTGAATAACAACTTCACTCAACAGGCTTACCAAGAGAGCTCCAACTCCATGTCAAACCTTACAACCAGATACTAATCTTACTATTAATTTTATATTCATAGTTTTAAGTGTGAAAAACATACTCAAAATAAAATGAACCAGGATTATCTTAATCTCTTAAGGATCCTCAAAAGTTTGAATCAAAAAGCATGTTTCCAGGTTTTCAAGGTAATTCAAGATATGCAATAATGCATAAAAAGGCAAATATAACCCTGAAAGCATTAATATTCAAGGACTAGACCAAATGTTACATATCAGTAGTAAAACTTGTAAAATATCGTAACATCCATTAGAACACTGATCAATAGTTTTTTCTACAGTGACGGCTAATGAGCACTTAAAATGTGGCAAGTGCAATTAAGGAACTGATTTTTCAGTGGCTACTGACTACTGCATTGGACTATATGGTTATGTGTGTATATAAACAGTATATAGTAGAGCATACTGTGTGGTAGAGCTTCAGAGCCCTAACCATCTTTCAGTGTTGCTTAGAAAAATAAATTATGTTTAAGGTACCAAAATGATGTTAAAAAGCCCTTCTTAAAAACTAGGAGGAAAAAAATCTTAAATTTCAGAGTACTATTATTAAGTTGTCATCAACAAGCCCTTTGTTTCCACTGTTATCTAATGTAAAGTCTAATTATAATACTATAATTCTAATAACTTGGGGAAAATGTTTATTTTCCTTTTCCCTAGGACTTGTTCTAAAAACTGAAATCTGCACAAGAGTATCCAATTCCAGTTCTCGTATTATTAAAAACCTGTCCACTTTATTTCTTTTCTCTACTAGAGCAACACAGGTCACTTCTTCTGTAATCCAAACGTGTCAGGAATAATGAAATAATGTAATATGCATTTCACAGCCTAAGTTATAATCATGTCCTTTCTGTATCTTCCTCATTTAAAACCCTTCCAAGTCAACTTACTTCCCCCTTTTGTTAACCCAGTTGTTTACATAAACATAACAAATATCTCAGGAGTATTCCTTAGAAAGTCAATTAAAGGGTATTAAAAGGCTGAAGAGATTTATTAGGATGGAGTCAGATAAGGAAAATTAAGCCCTATAATATGAATTATATTACTCTCTACCTGAATAATTACAGGTATCTTAAAACTGACACTATAGGGGCACCTGGGTGGCTCAGTTGGTAAAGAGTCTGACTTCGGCTCAGGTCATGATCTCACAGTTCGTGGGTACAAGCCCTGCATCGGGCTTTGGGCTGACAGCTCAGAGCCTGGAGCCTGTTTCAGATTCTGTGTCTCCCTCTCTCTCTGCCCCTTCCCCGCTCACTCTGTCTCTCAAAAATAAATGTTAAAAAAAATTTTTTTTAAAAACCTGACAGTATAAAACGAAAACTTTTAAATTAAAGTTTACAAAAAGTATCTGAATTGTATATAAAATAGGACCTTAAAATACTTAGCAAACATAAATTACAAAGAGGTTCATATAGAAAGGAAAAAGACAACTATAAAAACAAAAGCCACTCGAAATACAGAATACCGCCGTTGTCACGGGTTTGATTTTAAAATGTGAATTACAACTTTTTATTACATCATATAGAATTCTCTAGTATAACTCCTACACATTTAATCTAAATAAACTAGATATGAAAAACAGATAACCCTCTAAACTGTTCAAAGAAATTCAATGTTAATCACCCAGGAGAATCTAAGGAAAAAAGAATGAATAACAAGGCTGTATTGAACCATTCTAGCATTGCCAGGATCCATGTGTTTAATTTTCAATTAAAATTTACATCTTATCCCAAGAACTTGGCTTTCCTCAAGTATAAATTTGGAACTTCTATACTTGAGAGAACTGGAGCGCCACTGGGAAGCAGAAATATTTTCTAATAAAACAAACCAAGCAACTGAGACAAAAATCATCTTAACATGTAAGCAATTACTAGACCTTAATGGAGAGCTACCTCTGGACCTCTGAAAATTTATGATTCATAGTAAACCCAAGGAAATTTTATGTCAAAGATTACATTTAAATCTTCTATCCAATAAGCCTCTAACTTTACTACCAAGAACTAATGCCCCCAAGGACAATTTTTTAAGTATTAGTTTTGCACCATTTTTGATTTCACTGTTTAAGTCAAATTCACACAAATATGGTCAAAGTTCTGTAGTCACTCCTTACTGAGGATGGTGCTGGCTGGCTTCTGGGTAGGAAGACGATGCTATGGCAGTAAGGCACAGTCTGATGAGCTGATATTCCATAAGATACGGATTTATGTTGATCCATCCACATCTATCCACTCATGTTTATGTCAGAGAGCACTCATGTGCAAGACAATTGGTGGGGTTAAGGATTACAGCAAAGCTGAAATCAAATCTGTGGTCTTTGCCTAAATGTTTTATGCTCAAAACTAAAAAAACCACAAACTCCACTTATATTTATTAAAATAAAAAAGACTGACAGGTTAAAAAAAAACAAATACTAATCAGTTAAAACAATGACCATTTGAAAGAACTTTCCTTTACTCTATAAAAACCTTTATTTCAACCCCACAGAGAAATCAAAAGGGTCAACACTCCCATAAAATGTCACCAATAGTATTCCACAAATACTGGTATGTAAAACATAATCTTACAAATACATGTATTTGCAAGATACAGCTAAATAATTAGGACTAAACATTTTATACTGTGACCATTTCCTCTAGGTGATTACTATTATAGTTAGGTAAAAATACAGAGACCTGAAAGCAAAACAAAACCATACTTTTTCTCTTCTAAAATTTTGGTTGTTTTTGCTCAAAATTAACTTGTATATTTTTTGAGTCTGATCTAAGAAACTAGCCTAAAGAGTTCTGGTATTAAAGAGTTGTATATATCCTCCCACAGAAGAAATCCGCTTCATTTATTTAGCCTTCCGACCTTTCTCTTCTGCTTTAATGAAAGACTGCTTAATACAAATTTGAATACCCAGCTTCGCCCCCCACCCCGGGATTTCCCCCCAACTTTTAATTAAAATCTGACAACTACCTTTGATGACAGATAAGGCTAAGGCACCACAGGGACAGTGTTAAGACTGAAAATGGTGGAGTACTAAATTTCAGAGGTGTGTGTGTGTGTGTGTGTGTGCGCGCGCGCGTGTGTGTGTACACAGACACACACACACACATATATATATAAAGTCTCTAAAAAGAAACAGTCATCAGGATTCACTAAGCACTTCCCACATGTTCGACTGCCGTTAAAATACTTATGATCACTTCCCAGGATTATCCCTTGGATCTTTTCAATATTTATGTGGCTTTACTCGGCTGAAAAGTATTTCTGACATAAATAATCGGCCTAAATAGAGTTTTACCCAACTCTTTTAGATGCTTAATCTGCAAATTACTAAAAGCATATGTATCAGAATTTCTAAGTCTGTTCAGTCCTCTTATCATGATTTATATTTAGCAACTACAAGATTTAAGTCAATTGCAAATGTCAGTTAACTTTTCCCTCTTGAGATGTGCAGGTAGCCTAATCTGGAGATTAGCAATTGAGCTTACTCAACTGATTTTACTAAAATGTTGTCCAAATCAGCTAGCTCTTCCTTACTGATGCGAGTATAACTTGCTTCAACTACTGAATATAGACCATCACTGGTGACCATAAGTTGCACTGGTTAACTATTGTGTCCAGCTTCACTGTATAGAACGTTCTCTCTCTTAAAATTCCAATCAAAAGAATACAGTGAAAATGTCACCTGTGAATAGCTCAGGGGAGAAAAAAATACTATCAAAAGATTTCTGATTTGGGTTCTGTTCACTTTCTGGTTTTATAAACAACAGGATTTATTTATCTGTAATAATGAAGGTGTTTAGTGGAAGATATGGCCAAAAAAAGGAACCTGAGGTGGAGAGAACAGGTCTCTCTGACCTACGTATCCCAGAACTGCAAGAAAAGAAGTGGGGAAGAAGTCCCACATTTTAAGGGTATCAGATTATCTAGTCCAGTCCTTGGACAAATGTCTGGGCTTTGGAACCAAGGGCAAGTGGTGATAACTAGTCTATAGTATCATTTAAAACTCCCACCCCCCCTAGTAAGTCTCCACCCTCCCAGATCCCCCAAGCGTGATTTTGCACAACAAGTTAAATAAAAGTAAACTGTTTATTAAAAGATACAGCAAAGGTACAGATACAGAGATACATACAAAGATACAGATATATATATATATTTACATATATATACAGTCTTGCTGTTTTCATGTGCACTATATTTAGCAGCACATTATTTAATCAGGCAGCATTTTAATGGGGTTGTTTTGACACTTGGCGTTATTACTGCGTCATTTTGACAAGATACAACTATAGCCTCATGGCAATTTCAAGGTGTCAATTCCACTTCTCCAACTTTTAATAGTAGCAAAGAGGGGAAGGAGAAGGGAAATGGAGTACCAAGGCTGAGCATTAGGTTAAACACAAGAATTCCAAAGGGCCAAGGTAGCATGGGGAAGGGAAAATAATTAAAATTAAAGGCTATCTGACAAACAACCCAAAGAGATAGTAAGAAACCATTATTTAAGGGCAATGGGCTAAGTTACGTATTCAAGATGCCCACACATCAGCCTACAGTGACCTTTTCCAATCCAGTTCTTGTGTTGAACCTGAGGATCTGCCTCTCTCTACTCAATCCCTCCACCCAGTAAATTTGCTACCACCAAAATCTAGAGCTATAGAGCCTCGAAGCAAAACGGGAAGCTAAATAGTTGTACCTTGGGCTACCTTCCCATAAGTGCAAGGAGGGCCCAATGTTGGGTAGGGATGTGATAACACTGTTCTCTGCAATTCGATGCTTTTCACTTTGTGGCTTGGTTCCACAAAGTGAATTGCATCGAGTTACTGTCAAATGAGAAGCTGCGGGTTGTTTCATCTGTCGTCTAACCCGGCCCTGCCGTTTAACCCGGCCCTAAGAAGAGTGAAACAGAAGCCAAATCAGATATAAAGTAACAATAAAATGGGAGATTCAGGTATTAAAAACAAAAAACAAAAAAAACCACAATATTCCTCTTACTTACCTCAGAAGGCAAATTGCTGCTGAAAACATTATCATCATCTTTGTTCTCTTCACCATTTTTCTCTACAGGAACCCACTCTCCATAAACACTATCTGCTTCTTTTTTTCGATGTTGAGATCCAGATGACACAGGAAACTCTTTTGTTAATGTTACCTGGCTTTTTGGTGGAGTTGGTTTTGCTGCAGCAATCTAAAAAATAATGTATTTCCTTAATTAAAACTCAATAGATGTTTCAACATAATCTGAAAATAATTCACAGTTTCTTATAGTATTTAATAAAAAATTAAAACAATTATATTCCATTTGTTTTATTTAAACAGTCCCTATGCTATTTCATCAAACCATAAACACTAATACTCACATTCAGATTGAAAAAAATGGGTTTGGGTTCACTGAGTTTAAAGGGATGATGATAAAAAGGAGGTTCTTCTTCCTCTTCATCCGATACATGAGGCTTATTCACTATTACATCATCATCTTCTTTACTCTGTGCGATTTGTTTGCATTTCTTAAAAAATAAAAACAAAAGATAAATCTTACACTTTACGTGGAACATGTAGTTTTCTTAAAAAATCAAAACCACATAAAATCAATTTTCAGAAATAAAACAAGATTAACAATAGGTTGCAAATAAGTAGCTTAGCTTATCAGCTATTATTTAAACACACTCTAGCTGTTCAGTCAGTCAACAACATTTATTGAGCACCTACTATGTGCAGAGCACTGTACTGGGCACTGTCCAGGGAATACAAAAAAAAAAAAAGTAGAAGACATGGTCCCTGCTCCCAAGGAGCTTACAATCTAGTTCAAGAAACAGAATTACATACACATGAAATAATTGAGGAACGCTTTTACAGAGCAACACAATTAACAAGTGCAAAATGATATTATACAAACGGAGTACATAAGTGCTGAAAGAATAAAAGCTTAAGAGAAAACAGAATCAGGCAGAATTTGATAACCAAGGGCTATTCCTTGAAGAGTTCTAAGCCATATTTTCATAGTTAAGAACAAGGATTGGCAGGAAAAAAAAAAAAAAAGAATCATCCTAGTTAGATGGTGGTAAAAAGGTGAGAAACTTTAGAAGGAACAAGAGGGCTGAAAATGAGGCTTAAAAACATACAGGAAAACACTAAGTGTTCACAGCGTTTTAGATAAGGAGCTTAGATTTGATGAGCAAGTAATAGAAGCCTTCACTAAGTCCTTAAATTAAAAAAAAAAAGTTGTAATTCATACTGCAATAAATCTAAGTGAGGAAACAGATTAAAAACTATATGAACTCTCAAATGCATGGCAAAATAAAAACTTTGAAACATGTACAGTTGGGCTAGATAGCAATGTGTCTCTCCATAAATGTGTTCTAGGTTGAGTCTCTAAAGGAACAAAACTCAAGAATGGAAAATAAGGCATGACGGAGAGGGTGTTAATTGATGAGGTCTGACACACAAAGCAAAGTCAATTCCTTCCTGAGAAGCTAAGGAATAGACTCCATTACCTGGCTTTATAAAAAGGTCAGAGTAAATTGGGTGGACTTGTCTATACAAGCAGTAGAATTTGTCACATCCATTATCAATTGAAAATGTTACAATAGGATAAAAAGCTCAATTGGCCAAAAAACACAGAGTATACCAAGCCTGTAACCAAGGGGAACAGAATATATTAACAGTGGCAGGCTGGCATAAGGCTAGCCAATAACAAGTTTCAATATATGAAACAGTGTGATATTTCTGGATCCTAGCAGCAGTATTTCAGCGTCCTCCCAAAAAAAAAAAATAACAATAAAAATAATAATATTAACAAAACAAAGCCAAAAAAAAGCCTCAATTGAAAAGATCAAATTCTTAAAAACAAAAGTAAGTGTGTCTAAAATATATGTTACTGCCAAAACCCGAACCGCAGGAAGAACTGATAATGGCCGGCCATTATCACCAATGGCTGGTACCAAACAGCCAAAACCCGAAATGTTGATGCGTAAGAAGTTCCTTTCAGGCAATGGCCAGCTATTCTCATTAATTTCCAAGCTCCGGTGGCAAAAGATCATTTCTGAAGATTGTCTGTGTCTTTGCGTATATGCAGTACACTCGTGGCGATCAGTGAACACGTCGTGAATGGAAACGAAACTGTAGGCGAGCTTCTGCGTGTTGCTCACTCAACACCTCCTCCATTCAAACGAACCGTCCCACTCCTCAGTCAGTTTGGCTTCTAAAACTGGAAAGCAAAAGTAATGGGAAGTAACTTTTAGCTAGCGGAGCTTAGCCATCCCGGATAATGGTCTGCTAAACAGAGCTTCTGCCGCTGCCACATCTGTATTTCGGGTTTTGGCCACTCGGTGCCAGCCATTATCAGTTCAGCCCACAATTCGGGTTTTGGCACGCTCCAGAGTCAACATCACTGAAATAATCCATTTAAGAATGTAAACAAATTCTGTCTAGCTTACCTCAGTTAGTTCTTCTATGGTAGCTCCTCCTGACTTTTTAGCAACTTTCTCTTCTATTGTAGGTGGAGGTGCAGGCTTTAGGTTTGGCGGTAAAGGAACACCAGCCTTAGCACACATGGCAGCTGCATTAGCTTTGGCTATTTCAAGTAATTGAGCCTTATCTGGAAGAGGAAAAATATAAGCAGTTTTCCTATACAACTAAATACATTTTATCTAAAATCTTATATACTAACAAAATTAAAGGCACCGATTTTCTGCCCTAACATATAGCTCTGATCAAACCACTCTTCAGGTCAGTTTTTAAGCAAATGCCCCTATTAATTCCACATTTGCCTTCCCATCCAAACACTATACAAAATAGCTAAATTTCTATATAGAACCCTGCACTCTCACACACGGAACCCTGTCACTCTCACACACACCTGCACAGCCCTCTTTGTTTACTGAAAGTATCATGCCCTTACAATCACTTTCCTTCTGACGTTTTAAAATCATTCTTTAAGCCCAAGTTCAAGTGCCACCTCTTCTAACAAGCCAGAATTTAAAACTCCTCTCCAGTGTGCTCCAAAGTGCCTTAACCATACAGGTAGTCATCACCTTATGCTCTTTTTGGCAAGTTACTATTTGGTAAATGAGACATACATGCATTTTATCCACATCTCCTCTACTGAACCAAAAAGAACTCAGAGCGCCTGGGTAACTCAGCTGGTTAAGCGTCCACCTCTGGATTCTGGCTCAGGTCATGATCTCAACATCATGGGATTGAGCCCAGTGTCAGGCTCTGTGCTGACCACAGAGCCTGCTTGAGATTCTCTCTCCCCCTTTGCCCCTCTCTCCCACTTATGCACACTTGCTCTCTCTAAAAATAAATTTTAAAAAAACAACTCAACTTTTGAACTGAATAAATTCTCCCTTAATGCTCTGTGAGGGTCTTTTTCTTTAGACAACCCTGACCTGGAAATGTTCAATCTACTAAAATAATGATAAATTATCCATTATTGCAAGTAGTCATGCACTATCCATCCACTTTTAATCATCCCTGCACACCTCTGAAGTCAAGGGGAACTACAGCACTTTATTTTAAAAGGCAGATTATTAAAATACTAAAATCATTTTAACAAACTTTATTTTGCTGGTATCACCCACCCAGATAAGAAATAACTCCCCACCAACAAAATCCCCTTATTCACTTTCTTTACCCATCATACCAATCAGAATTACCTTCGCACACATTTAACAGCCCTGTGTTGCCATTTTCAAACATGTAACTTATTTTTAAAAAACACACTGTAATTTTAGGCTTGTGTGCAAGGATCTATGTTCGTATACAATAATAAAACAAGCTCAGCATATACTAGCCTTATCTTTAACTAGACTTCTACTTTCCATTTGGTTATGAGAAACAGTTCAAGCAAACTAAAACATTCAAGTATGGTTTGTACCTTGATTCGAATATACTTCAAAACAGGTCTTTTCAACTCTAACTACAAATTTACTTACCCCTACATTTTCTAAAACCCATAATCTAATTACAGTTGACCCTTGAACAAGAGGTGTTAAAGGCACTGACACCCTTGTAGTTGAAAATGACATACAACTTTTGACTCCCCAAAAACTTTACTGAGAGTACACTGCTGACTAGAAGCCTTACTGATAACATAAACAGCTAACACATATTTGTACATGTACTACATTGTGTGTGCTAAAGAAAACTTTAAGAAAACTGTAAGAAAAATTCACTTACAATACTAATACTTTATCCAAAAATTCATGTATAAGTGGACCCATCCAGTTTAAACACACCCATGTTGCCCAAAAGTCAACTATATGGAAATTTAAAGACAGAAATATTCACCTAAAACAATAACCCAAAATATCCCATTTGACTCAAAGATCAGAAAAAACAGATTTATATCATTCTCTTTTATAATGCCAAATTTTAAAATTACTTACTCAGATCAGTTAGACGTTTAGGTGATCTGCCTCTTTCAGAAGACCTGGATCGTTTACGACGAATGGGAGATCTGCTAAACCTTCTTCTCAAAGGTGTTCGTGATCTCCTTAATCTTACTGGTGAGATACTAAAGCTCCGTCTCCTTACCACAGACCTTGATCTTCTCCTGCGGCTAGGAGTGCGGCTGCGGCGGCTGGGGGTGCGGCTGCGGCGGCTTGGGGTGCGGCTGCGGCGGCTAGGGGTGCGGCTGCGGCGGCTGGGGGTGCGGCTGCGGCGGCTGGGGGTGCGGCTGCGGCGGCTGGGGGAAATACTAAAGCTCCTCCTCCCCACAGATCTAGATCTTCTTCGACGACTCGGAGTGTGACTCCGACTCCGACGACTTGGGGTGCGACTTCGAGCTCTAACTGTTTTCCGGTTATCCCTGGAACTTGATCTTTTTCTCTTTCTTTCCCTGGACTTCGACCTGTGCTTTGGGGATCTTTTACGCTTCTCTTTTGATACAGATCGCCTTCCTCTGGACTTTGACCTTGACCTGCTGCTCCTCCTCCTGCGTCTTGAACGTGATCTTGAACGTGTTTGAGAGCGATGAGACTTGGATTTAGATGATCTCTTCCTTGCCCTAGAACGAGATTCACTGGTACGCTTGCGTGATTTATGTTCAGAAGACTTGGAACGCTTACTTCGAGATCTTAATGAAGAGTCTCTTTTCTTTTCTTTCTCACCTTTGTCCCGATTCTTGTTTTTCTTGCTTTTCTCATGTGTGTCCTTAACTTTTACAAAAATCTCATAATCATCTTTCTCCTCTGAAGAGGACTCTGAAGCTCTTTCTGGTATACTGATTACAACTGGACTGGCAGCAGTTTTGTCACGCTCAACCTCACTTGCAAGTAAAGGTCCTTCAATACCAGCTCTAAGGCTTGTAAGACGTTCCATGTCCTTAGGAAGTAATGGTCTCACTAAATCTGCTTCATTAATTTCATCAATATTGGCAGAAAATCCTGAATCAGACAGTATCTCTTTAGGAGGAAGAGGTACTTCTTTATCTTCTCCACTACTTTCTTTAGGACTGAGAGCAACTGCTAGTGTCTGGTCACACTCTTTCATAGGTAATGGTTCTTCTACATCCTTACCAATAAAGTTATTAGATGGTAAATCGAGATGAATGTCTTTAGCAGGCAAAGGTCCCTCTATGTCAGCTTCACTACCACCACTGGGACTAGTGGAAATTATCATGTCGTGTTCAGTATCTTGAGTGGTTAAAGATACTTCAACATCATATTTACTAACTGAAGTGAGAGTAGATGCTGTAACAAATTCAATACCCTTACTAGTTCCCACTGCATCAGGTTCAAGAGCAAAGGGACCAGCAGAAGACAGAGTTCCTCCATCAGCTTCACTAACACTAGAGCAGGTGTCCAATACTATGCACTGTTGAGTCTCACTGATGGATAAAATATTCCCTTCTCCAATTTCACCAACGGCACCAGTGGTGGCAGCAGACACTGTGTCATGTTCCATCCCTTTAGCAACCAGGTGATTATTTACATTAAGATCTGTATTTGTACCATGCTCACTTTCATAAGGGTCATTCTTCAGGTGTCCTTCAGCATGTGGCTCTTCATCTGAATGCATGGGAATCTCCTGCATGCCAATCTCTGGAGCAAGATTTTGATCACCAGATAGTAAATTCAGTCCTTTTATAACATCAGACTCCAGTATCATTGGTGTAGACTCTGAAACTATCTCAGTAGATATTATCTGGGTCTGCTCTGAGACAGTGATAGCAGGCTCTGAAATTATCACAGTGGATTCTTGAACTGAAACAGATGGTTCTGAAACAACTGCATTAGGCTGAGGGACTGACACTGCTGGTTCCAGAACAGGCACAGTAGGCTCCAGGGCAGAAACAACTGGCAAAGAAATGGTAACATGCTCTGACTCAGCCAAGGCCACAGTCTCCGGGACAGCCTCAGCTGTGGGTGGTTCTGGAATAGGCATAGCTGTTGGGTCAGAGACCACCACAGCTGCTGGGTCCGGGATAGCCATGGCTGGAGTCTCCAAGACAGTCATAGCTGGGGGCTCCGGAACAGTCCCAGTTGGTGGCTCCGGGACAGCCACAGCTGGTAGCTCTGAGACAGCCACGGCTGACAGCTCTAGAGTGCTCTGTGATGGCTCTGGATTAGTTGCGGCTGGCTCCAGGAGGGAATGAGATACCTCTGAGGCAACGTGTCCTGAAGGTTTCATGGAATCAAAGGATTCTGCTGTCTCAGACATAACTGAAGGTTCTGATGTTAATACAATTGGTTCAGCTGACATTACGGGAGTTTCAGACACCATGTAAGTCACTGGTCTCTCTGGAACAATTTGTTGCTCTTCTGCTGCTACAGCAGACTCTACAGGTGTTGATGTAACCGAAGACTCTGGCTCTAATGGTGGTTCTGGAACAGTCACAGTGGCCTCTGATGCTAACACTGAAGGATCTGATGCTGGTACTGAATAATTAGCAGGCAACGTTGAAGGCTCTGAAATCTCACTTTGACTCACAGAAGGTTCAGAAAGCGATACAGACTCTTCAGGAGGTAATGCTGGTACCTCTGTAGGCCAATTATTTTCAGCTGTTAATTCTGACTGTTCAGTAGGTAATGCCGGACCCTCTGGTGGTTCCTCAGGAGGCAATGGTGGGGTCATTGGTGGCTCCTCAGGTGGCAATGGTGGCATTGTTGGAGGTTCTTCAGGAGGCAAAGGTGGCACCATATATGCCTCCGTGTATGTATCAGTATAAGAATCGGTGTAAGAATCAGCTGCCATAGACATCATTGAACGATCAGCAGTGTAAGATGACATCATAGATCGGTCAGCTGCAGAGTACGATGACATCATAGACCGGTCAGCAGCAGAGTAGGACGACATCATAGACCGGTCGGCACCCATGGACATCATAGATCGGTCAGCCATTGGGGACATCATGGAGCGCTCGTAAGCTGACATCATAGAGCGTTCATAAGCTGACATCATAGAGCGCTCAGCCATAGGGGACATCATAGAACGCTCATAGGCCGACATCATAGAGCGCTCATAGGCTGACATCATAGAGCGCTCAGCCATAGGGGACATCATAGACCGCTCATAGGACATCATAGAGCGTTCGTAAGATGACATCATGGAACGTTCTGCAGCATAGGACATCATCATAGAACGTCTAGATGCTAACATCAAGGGTCTTGGTGCTAACCTGTACGGCCTGGGGGCTATTCTATAGGACCTGGGTGCTATCCTATAGGGTCTAGGTGACATCCTATAGGGATCTGGAGTTAGTCTGTAGGGATCATGGCCTAATCTATAGGGGTCCTGCCCTAACCTGTAAGCATCATGACCTAACCTATAAGGGTCATGACCTAACCTATAGGGATCCTGAGTTAACCTATAAGGATCCTGAGCCAACCTGTAGGGATCAGGAGATTTTGAACCCAACATAGCAGAATCTTGGGTACTAGATGCTAACATCTGGGCATCCATGGTACCAGATGCTAACATCTGGGCATCCATGGTGCCGGAGGCTAACATTTGAGAGTCCATAGTGCCTGATGCTAACATCTGAGAATCCATAGAGCTAGTAGCTAACATCTGGGAGTCCATGGTGCTGGTTGCTAACATCTGGGAATCCATGGTGCTGGTAGCTAACATCTGGGAATCCATGGAGCTGGTTGCTAACATCTGGGAGTCCATGGAGCTGGTTGCTAACATCTGGGAGTCCATGGTGCTAGAGGCTAACATCTGGGAATCCATGGTGTTGGACGCTAGCATCTGGGAATCCATGGTGTTGGATGCTAGCATTTGGGAGTCCATGGTGTTGGACGCTAACATATGGGTCTCCATGGTGTTAGAAGCTAACATATGGGATTCCTGGGCCATCAAGGGATCCACTCCTACTGTTACCGAAGTCTCCCCCACTAATGTAGTAGGCAGCTCCTGTGCTACCGTATTATAGGATTCCAGCGCTGTCGTCGAGGGCACCTCCAGGGACTGCGACACGGTCATCGTTGACAGCTCCGTTGTGGTCACCACAGACTGAACAGAGATCTCCAGCGCCACAGTTGCCACGGGCTGCCCAGGCAACTCTGGCGCCCCAGGCTGCCCTGGCAACTCCAGCACCCCTGTTGCTAGAGGCTGCCCCAAAAGCTCCAGGGCTCCAGCTGCCCCAGACTGCCCCGAGAACTCCAGTGCCCCAGTTGCCATGAGCTGCCCAGGCAACTCCAGTGCCCCAGTTGCCACAGGCTGCCCTGACAACTCCAGTGCCCTAGTTGCCGAAGGCAGCCCTGGCAACTCTGGCACCCCAGTCACCGAAGGCTGCCCTGGCAACTCCAGCGCTGTCGTTGCCACTGGCTGTCCTGGCAACTCCAGCACCATCGCTGCCTCAGGCTGCCCCAGCAACCCTGTTGCCGTCGTCACCTCAGGCTGCCCAGGATGTTCCACCGCTGTCATCCCCACAGGCTGCTCCAACTCTGACGTCGTCACAGGCTGTTCGGCCAACTCCATTGCTACTGTTACCGCAGGCTGCCCTGGCAACTCTACCGCTGCTGTCACCGCAGGCAGCCCTGGCAACTCCTGTGCCATCACAGGTGGCTCTGGTACCTCCTGTGGTGGCTCCAACCCCATGGATGGTGCCGGAAGCCCTGGCAATTCCTGCGACAACTGTGGCACTGATGTCACAGAGGGCCCCGGCAACTCAGGCACTGCTGTCGCAGGGGGCCCTAGCAACTCAGACACTGGGGTAGAAAGGGGGCCTGGCAACTCTGGCAACGGGGTAGCAGAGGGCCCAGGTAACTCCAGCGCTGGAGTCACAGAGGGCCCCTGCAACTCCGGCTTGGAGGTCGCAGGTGGCCCCGGCAACTCCATCACTGAGGCCACCGACGACTCCGGCAGCTCCAACGCTGTGGTCTTGGGCAACTCCAGCAACTCCTGTGGTCTTGTCATAGATGAATCTGCGATCTCCGATGGTACTTCTACAGGCTGCTCTGGCAATCTGAGCACTTCAGTTGCAGACGACTCTGGAAAATCCACTGCTGTTGATGTGCTTGGCTCAGGGTGCACCTCAGCAGGTATCTCCGATGATACCACGAGGGTTTCTGATGGCTCTAGCCCTTTTGTTACCAGAGGTTCTAACATCTTTGATTGCTCTGGAGGTGTGGTATCCAAAGATTTTAGCATAGGCTTCATTTGATAGTCCACGGACATTGTTACAACTGGCTCAGATGACTTTAGCACTACTGTTGTAGTAGGCACTGGTGCCGTTGTAAAGGAATCCAGAATCTTTGTCATGGGTGCTTCCAGCGTGACTGCCACAGACTGCTCTGACAGCACTGAAATTACGGATGTTGATGCAACTGACAGTTCTGCGGTTTTTGTAGCTGGCTTCAGAGTTTCTAAGGTATGTGGCTCTGATACCTCCATTGATACCACAGGAGGTTCTAACACAACTGCAGAAGATTCACTGGTCTCAGAAAGGCCAAATGCTCTTACAGGATGCTCTAATGCCATCGCTGAAGGTTCAGAATCAAACTTCAAAAAGGAATCCGATTCTAAATCTATGTTCCCATCATGATGTGATTTTGCCTTTGATTCAGATTCTTCTGGCTGTCTCTTATATTTTTTCTCCTTTTCTTTCTTCTTTTTCTTCTTTTTATTTTTGTGCTTTTTATGCTTCTTTGACTTTTTGGTGGGAATTTCATCAGTAGGATCTGTTTGTACTGACACACATCTACTTTTTCTGGAGGCCTCCTTCAGGTCTGAAAGTAAAGGAAATTTATTGTAATTTGTCAAACATTCCCCAAAGTAAACTTAGATAAGTCACATAAACAAGATTTATGTTTCAAGTTAAAATACCATTGTATAACACTTCTCATTAAAGTTACTACATAAACCACTTTCTATAAACCTATTACCTGAAGACTGAAGTTTTCCAAATTTTTTCCCTACAACTAAAGCCTGAAATTATCAGCAACTTCAATCAATCACAAAAACCTGGCACTTAAATTGTGTTTTGCTAAGTTTAAAACTATTTTCAGGGCACCTGGGTGGCTCAGTCGACAGAGCATCCTACTTTGGTTCAGGTCATGATCTCACCGCTTGGGAGTTCAAGCCCCGCGTTGGACTCTGTGCTGACGGCTCAGAACCTGGAGCCTGCTTCAGGAGCCTGTGTTTCCCTCTCTCTCTGCCCCTCCCCCACTCATGCTCACGCGCTCTCTCTCAAAAATAAATATTTTAAAACATTTTTTTAAAAAGCTTAAAGCTATTTTCTCCAGTTCTCAAAATAGAACAAAGTACTTTTTTCAAACTACACTTATCAAAGAATATTTTGTATTATCAGTTGTTGAAATTCAAATTGCTATAAAAAATACACCCATTAAATAATTTTTATGACTATTTCATAACCCCTATTCACACAGGAAGCAACACAGCACTGGCTCTGGAAGAAACTATCTGCTTTTGGACCCTCAATCAATCACCACCCACTAGATGAATAGACTTGGCCAAATTACTGACACTCTGTCTCCTAAAGTTAGAGGACAAAATAGGAGTTAAAATATACAAAGTACGTTGAACTGACACATAGTAAGCCCTCAGCAAATGCTAATGATTGCTTTTATGTAGTATATGAAGGGCTGAACTAATGTAAAGCATCAACACGAAACTTGAACTTTATTTCATTACACCTACGTTACATTCTAGTAACGAACTATAGAAATGATCCCTGAAAGTATAGTCTTTATGTTACATTCTAATAAACACCTTTCCCCCCAACACTCCTCCAAAATTATGAAAACAATCTTAACATTTTTACTTAAAAAATAAATCATTTAGGAAAGAAACTCTTCTACCTCTTTACATTTAACTTAAAATCACTGCATTTTTCTGAAATAGAAAATAACTTCTTTTCTACTTTACAACCAGGTAAAGTTCCTCTAATACCAATCAATATCCTGTTAGATAAATTTTAGTGACCCCAGAAAAGCTAATCAGAAATCCAGGCCACTAAGATTATGGGGAAGGGAGGCCTTGGTGGCTCTGCTGGTTACATGCCCAACTCTTGATTTTGGCTCAGGTTATGAACTCACATAGTTCATGGAATCAAGCCCCGAGTTGAGCTCTGCACTGGCAGTGTGGAACCTGCTTAGGATTCTCTCTCTTCCCATGGCTCTGACCCTCTCCTGTTCAGGCTCTCTCTCAGAAATAAACTTAAGGGTGGCTGAGTTGGTTAAGCATCCGACTTCAGCTCAGGTCCTAATCTCACGGTTCTTGGGTTCGAGCCCCATGTTGGTCTCTGTGCTAACAGCTCAGAGCCTGGAGCCTGCTTCGGATTCTGCGTTTCCCTCTCTCTGCCCCTCCCCCACTAGTGCTCAATCAATCTCTCTCTCTCTCTCTCAAAAAATAGAGAAGATGAATCAACATGTGATAAGACCTATTCTAAAACAAAACTAATTTCTTTCTACTACTTGTTTATTATGCACCTAAAGCTAGTTAGCCAAGTTATACTTCAACCAAGAAACAGTTGTTACAGCCATAAATCTAAGTATAGCTGAAATCTATGCTGTTTTTTACCAGATCTTATATCATAAACAATTTAAAAATAAGAAAAAAACCATACCACCCCTCCACTTCCAACACTAAATGAAGAGTCATTTTTGTGCTTGATCATAAGTCTTTCATTTCTAAGCATCATTTATTTAATTTCCAAAACACTAAATATCAAGGCAATGGTTCCTTTCCATCCGCTGCACTTTGAAGAGAACTAGATGCAAAAACAAGGCAATCTCTAACCTTAGGCTTTAAACTAAAACCTCCTCCTAGGGTCGTAAAAATCATTACAGATTTGGTCCAGGCTCCAACACCTTCCAAAACTGACATTTACACCAATGCTCAATGAAAACCCACATTTAAAATCCTGGCAGTGAGGCACAGGACAGAATAGAATAAAGTTACATTCCAGCAGCAAAGCAAACACGTATCAATGCTCACGTTTCAGTACAACCATATTTTCAAAGAAAAATTTAAACAATGTCGTCAGTAAATAGACTAAAATTTATCGAAGTTTCAGTCTATTTTTAAATACCCTGCAATAAAGAAATAATACTGTTAGCTAGCTAAAAACCTTAGTTTTTAAGATGCTGATTATCTCCAGCTTACCTGGCTTATAACGTAGTTCTGTATCTAAGACTCCAGAAAGTACTTCCTCTATCTTCTGAACTATTTCTTCATTTGGTAGGCTCCTGGCAGAGGCAGCTGCATCACCTGCCTGGTTTCCTTCATTAGGAGTATTTGTTTCACCATTGAGCTGGCCTTCACTCCTTCCACTTGACAAGAAAAGTTACCAAAGTTCATTAATACTTTTACCATACTATATAATATTTGTAACTCGATTAAAGTATTTTTGTATTTTACAAAAATAACCATTTTTGTATTTCGTTCAGAGGATATTCCTCACCAATGGTGCTTCCTTCATTCTAACTACTAAAAGTTGGAACATTTTCATTTTTACACAATAACTTCATTTTCAGAACTGTAAAAATTAAGAAAAAGTCTTTAAAACAGGTTTCTAAGCTCCTTATAAAATATACAGTATTTCCAGAAGCCTAAACAGTTTCATATTCAGGTTACTTGCATTTTTATCTCAGAGGAGAAAAACTACTAATCACAATACATATCCAAAGAAAAATATACCACCTAACATTATGATAGAAGCTAGAGCCACAATAAAACCACATCTGTACATGGATCACAATCAGCTACAACAATGTCAAGGAACAGTTACCATAGACACATTAAGTAAAAAGGGCAAACTGTAGCCTCAAATCAGGTTTAGACTGATTAAAACACTGAAATGACATAAAATTTAAAAAGAAAAACACATTTATATAACTTTTACCCACTGTAAAGAATCCTAGTATTTTCTGATGTTCAAAAAAACTCATGGAAAACAAGTGACATTTTATTTCACGAATAAATTAATATAGATGACTTAATGTGTTTTCAATTCACAGGGCCATAAGAATCTAGACGTGAGAGTCATGTCATTTAGCTAGTGATTTTTACTATTTTTGTGATAACAAAATTGTTTTGAAAAATAATTTCAACACGATTTAATTAAAGTCTACTAAAATAACAGATCAAACAATTATGCTCCACTACCTGATAAATTTCTGGATGGTTAAAAAAAAAATCAGTAGTTAACTGTTATTTAGAACACTTGGCTTTATAAGGAGTCACACAATAATTACCACTTACTATTAATTAGAGTCATGGGTCTACATTCCTTAATTCATAAACTCTTATAATTAGCACTGTCACTCTGATTCTACAAATGAGGAAAATGACCCACAGAGAAGAAACCAAAGTTCACATAGTTACTAGAAGGCAAAGCTGGTATTCAAAACCAGAACTTATACTTTAACGACCATCTATATTCAATAAATAACTTACTTTACTTAAACGTCAGCCCCTTACCCAAATTATTGTAAAAATACAAAGAAAAAAATATGGCAAATATAACTCACTGAAATAATAATCAAAATTTTGCTCTCAGACTGATAATTACTTCTTTGACAAGAAACTGAACATTCCTGATAATAAGTTTATCTAATATTCTTTTTAGACTTTTGGAAGCTTTTTTTTCCTTTTCCTAAGCACTTACACATAATGAATCACCTTACTACTAAGCCATGGATTTAAAAATCAGAGAAGTGTAACTAAAAAAAGATTACAATAATCACCTTAAAGCCATCAGACAATTCATCTCAATTACTGAAATGGGATGAAAATTTCAAACCATCTAAATATCCAACAATACATTTCCTACAAAAGAGTTCTATGGAGCCATTAAAAAATGTCCGAAAAGACAACGGAGAATGGGACAAAAGACAAAAATTTGTTCACCATCAGGTGAAAAAACAACACAAGATGATCACACTTCACAAAACATGTATATAGCATCTGTACATACAGGAGGAAAAATGAAAAAACATTATGCGGTTTTCCAACTTTCTCAGTTTTTATTTTTTCTAAAATTTTTACAGTAAAACACTTGTCTTTCAAATACAAAAACGGATTTTTAAGGGGTATAAAAACACTACACTACAATAAGTACACTACAATAAGTAAACACAACTGTCCGATGAAACTATTAAAATTTTCAGAAAATTATATTCCTTTGGTCTTTTCTCATCATCTAAAGTCACTAACGGCCTAACAAAATTTTAAACAGCAATGAAATAAGCGAGCGTATATATTTCCTACTTAAACAATATACCCTGCCAAAAATCATCTTAGCGATACTAGACCGTTGCCCCAATAACCCTATGTTAATTTCAGCACTTAGTTTACAAAACCGCGTTTTCAAATTCATGCTCTTACTCTAAACTTTCGAAATGTAACTGGCAAAAAACATTTAAACTCGGAATGTTTACGTTACATGAAGCAAAAATACTAAAAGACGCCCACGTAACATCGTAACCAACACCGTTTTCCTTTCTCAGTAAACAACGATTTCTTCCGAAATCTCTTTCCATTCAAATTTTGAAACCAAGGGTAAACTACGTAAAGTCTAAGCGTAACGGCAAAAGTAGCCGGTTGGTCGTATATGTCAACCGGGGCAGAAGTAGCAACAACAAAAAAATTAAATTGGACGTAAACGCAAACATATTCCGCTCGCCAAACGAAAAAACTGTGAAGTCAAAAATCCTCTTCCATCTTCCCCCTCCAATATTTTGTCAAAGTACCTAACATGAATTTGAGGAGCTTTCGCTTCCATTTCTAATCCATTAGAACGCTGCCTGGTGGAGGCCACAGGACCCGAGGGCCCAAATAATCTAATTAAAGGACCACGACCCCCCGAATGGCTTGCGACAATAAAGCGGATTTAAGATTACTCAAGAAACGGCCGTTAGAGACCCTTTCCGGTCAGAGGCACCGGCCGGCGAAATCCGCGGAGGCGGAGAGGGGGAGGGGAAACGCGGCGGCGGAGGAGGAGCCGAGTAAGGAACTAGGCCCGTCCCTGGTGGACAACCAGGCGTACGAGTAAAGGGTAAGAGATGACCAAACGGGAAAGAATGAGCATCATAACCCGGTTCTACAAGAAGGAGCCTGGGGTTACCTCAAAAAACACGAAGTTCCTCGCTGGGAAGGGAGGGAGCGGATGGGGGGGGGGGGAGGCCCGGAAAATGGATCCCAGGCCCAGGCGGGGCTGTAGCGGGGCCTGAGGCGAGGAACGACGGCGTCCCCGAAGAAGGGTGCCATGGAAAGCTACACGGGGCCCTACCGGTCCCTTGAGAGCAGAAGAGACTGGGAAGCGTTTACCTGGAAAGCTCCTGTTGAATTTCCCGGAATTTGCTGACCACGAAAGACCTAAAAATCTGCTCGATGTTGGTCGCCATGGCGTCCGCTCCGTTCTCTCAACTCCTCCTCGCTAGTCCTCCAGGCTCCCAGCATGCCTCGGGAGGAGGCGCAGCGGCCAATTCCGTCTCTCGCCGTCCTGATTGGCTTCTGTGGGAGCGTCCGGACCGGCACGCTCCGCCTCTGGACCAATCAGTGAGCACGGCCTAGTTCTCCTCCGCTGTTTCTGAGCGGCTAGGGTAGAGGTGCTGACGTTTGCGCCGCGCACGACTATGTCCGCCATGTTAGTGACTGACGCAGGCGCCATTACAGGAGAAGTCTCTGTTGAGGCGACTGTGTCAGTTTACGGTGTCTGTCTGCAACAGTGGGGAGGCTTACTAAATACTCCAGATTAAATAGCATGAGGAAAGGGAGCAAGAAGTGCTGCGTGGTTTGATAAGGGGCTTCTGCCGTTCCTGGGTGGCGCCAAGTGGTGTTTTGGCAGGGAGATGCATCCGGAAAATCATTAATCGGCGCCCGCCCCCACTATGGTGCGAATGCGAAGGACATGTTTTAACCCCCGTCTTTCTCTCATGGCGTCCCATAACCAGCGTTGTCTTTTTTTTTTTTTTTTTTAAAGCAATAGGCCAGGGATTTTAGGCGGCCTGCAGCTCAAAATCAGGTGCACTCTAGGCTCGTCAGGAGTCGAGCGTGTCCGGAGACTCCCGGCAGTAGCTGGTCAGCTCTGACTCCTTAGCAACAATTAGCAAATCGTGGGTTTAGCATTTTGCGCCCCCCACCCCCACAGAGCTGTGAAAGCTCCTAAGGAGGAATAGAGACGTTACGTGAACCCCGATAGTACAGTGACCCATTATAAACGCGCAAGGTCTTGTTATCTTTACTGTGGAGTAAGCTCGGGCCGCGCACTAGAACCAGAGGGAATCACACTTGATTGCCTCGCTGCGGCCACCACGGGCCGCGCTGACCAATGGGGTGGCGCGGCCGGCGGGCGGGGCGACGGGGGGGGGGTTGGAGGCACGCTCCGGATCCCGCTGGGCGGACTTCCGGCGCACGGCGGGCGTCCGGGCTCGGAGCGCGCGGGTGAGCGTGTGAGCTGCAGGACCGCCTTGGGTCGTTGCGGGACCCCCCACTCCGGTTCCAAGTAAAGTACATTTATGCTTTGGTTTGGGGACTTAATATCAGGAATTGGCTGAAACCGTAGGAACTGATTTGGCTGTAGGAATTCTCGTCTTATTTTTAAATGCCGTGGGTGTGGGTGGGCCATGTGCTTTTCACTTCTTTTAGCCGAGGTTTACGTTGGATTCTTCACATTCCCTGCCTTCTAAGGTGGCAGGGTCCTTTTTGTAGTTCTTGGCCTTTTTTTAAGATCAGAAGCCACAAACGCGTATTTTTTTCTTTACGCACCCGTTGTCTGTAGCAGATTTAGTCCACTTTTTGTGATTGGCTTCAGCTTTATCTTTTTCACCGCGTTCTTTGCGATGGCTTTACCTGGTTCCCTTCTGGTTTTAAGTTACCCGTTTAAATGACCGAGGCCCATGCCTCAAGGCATCCCAGCTAGTCAGGGGCCGTCTCAGCCCAAACCAAAGCACTTGGCAGCCCAGGTCTCCTAACCATTCTTGGTATGGATCCCTTCAAGCTGAGTCCTGATGCAATTTCTGTGATCCACTGTGGTTACCAGGACAATTTTCCTTTAGTGCCCCCTTTCAAACTAAAGTATTTTTTCTCTAGATTTCAGAAAAAATTATTTCAGGTATTTTGATACCCGTGGCAAGTCTTGTTTTTTTTTCTTTTTTTGTTAAAATAGCTTTTGTCTCTCTAGGACAATAGTTTAGCAATTCTTTTTCTTCCTCAAATTTTAAGTGATCATCTCAACTGTTAAGAATATCTGAAGCAAAATTGCATACTTTGGAATCGAGGCTTCACTACCTTTTAGATATGTGACATGCAGCAAGTTGTTTAACCCCATTGGACCTCAGTTTTTTATCTGTAAAGTGGGGTGGCTATAGTATCTATCTCATAGAATTCTTAAGATTGTGAAGCAAGTCATGAAAAGCATTTAGAATAGCATCTGGCACAAAGTAAAGTGTTCAAAAGTTGTAAGTTTTTTGTATTACCAGCTTAAATTTTTCTGTAAATATGTAATCCTAACATCACTCGAGAAGTTACTGATTGCAGTTTTCTTTTCTCCTATTTGCAGTTTGCCTTCTACCTAATGAAACGCTTTCTAGAAATTAGTAAACTAGTGTGACAAGTATTCATTCCTTTGGCTTTTCTTTCCCTGTTAGTACTTCATTCTAACATATCAATTTATGTAAAGGTAATAATATATAACAAGTTAGGATTTGCTGCTCCTGAGTGCCAGAAATTATATTAACCATTTATAAATGTAATTTTGAAAAAAAATGTCATTTTACTTAACCCTTAAGTAACTTCTTAAAGCAAGTTCTCCTACTTCCATCTTTTAAGATGTAAAGAAATCGAATTACAGGTAGTAAGAGCTTAGCCAGGATCACGCTGCTGACCTGAGATAGGTGTTATATCCATCCTGCTAAGAATAAAATGCCAGAGCTAAGGTGAGACATGTTCAAGTTTGAGTTTCCCTCTCTATCAACCTTCTAACATACTGCACTAAGTCACCAATCTGGCCCTTGTCCCAAATCCTTCCTGCCGCCATTTTTTATACAGCTCACCAAATAAGAATAATTTTTACATTGTTAAATGGTTGGAAAAAATTGAAAGGAAGAATGATGTTCTTATGACCTTTGAAAACTGTAAGATATTCAAATTACAATGTCCATAAATAAAGTTTTATTGAAACATGCTTTTTTTTATTGTTTATTGTTGAAGGAGAAAGACCCAGTATGAGAAGGGGAGGGGCAGAGAGAGGGCGAGACACAGTGCAAAGCAGCTGTCAGCACAGAGCCCAGTGCTCAAACTCACAAGATCATGACCTGAGCTGAAGTCAGATGCTTAACTGACTGGAGCCATCCAGGTGCCCCCATGACTGTTCTTTATAAGCCTTCCTATTGCTTAGAGCAGAACATAGGCAAACTGTGACCTACAGCTCACTGGCTGTTTATGTCAGGTTTTACTAACCGTGACCTTGTTCACCCATTTCTGTATTCGCTACAGCTCCTTTCATGCCACAGTAGCAGAGTTGAGCTGTTATCATAGAGCTCTTATGACCCTCAAAGATGAAAACAGTTACTCTCTGGCCTATATAAGCCCCAGTCTTAAATATTTCTCCCAATTTATGATAACTTTAAAGTTTTATGTATAGTATCTCAATATTTAAAAACAGGTATTTTAAACCGGAAATGTTAGGATGCATGTTCAACTGAGGCTTGATGATTACAAATTTTTTAAAAGGAAAGTAGGAGCACCTGGGTGGCTCAGTCAGTTAAGCATCTGACTCTTAGGTAGGCTCAGGTCATGAACTCATGATTTGTGAGTTCAAGCCCTATGTCGAGCTCTGCACTGGCAGTGTGGACGCTGCCGGGAATTCTCTCTCAGTCTGCCTGTGCCCTCCCCTGCTCACACATCTCTCTCTCAAAAAAGATAAATAAACTTAAAATTTTTTTTCGAAAAGAGGAAAGTAAAACCTAAATAAAGGTGATTATTCATAGGAGTTTTTTAAATTAGGTTGAAGTTAAGTCACCATTTAATTCCTTAACCTAGTTCTAGGCCATTCTGCCTCATTTTTAAAATACCTACCGTGGGGCACCTGACTGGCTCAGTCATTACAGCATGCAACTCTTTATCTCGGAGTCATGAGTTCAGGCCCAACATGGGATGTGGAGATTCCATAAATACATACGTCCCTAATCCTCATGAGTAACATCATCGCAAATTATGATCCATCATTTTTCACAAATCTTGGGAGTGAAATGTTATTTGTATGTTTACAAGTAACTACTTAAGTCATGTTTAGAAATTATTCCTAAAGTATATGCATTCTAAAATATCAACTGTGGTTTACTTTCTGCAGCTTTTATTTTCCTTTGGAATTCCTGCTTTGCACTGAGAACAATGGCAGCCCGCATACTTGTAATCGGCAGTGGAGGCAGAGAACATACACTGGCCTGGAAACTTGCACAATCTGATCATGTCAAACATGTGTTGGTTGCCCCAGGAAATGCAGGCACTGCCTGCTTGGAAAAGATTTCAAATACTGGTAATTGTCTTTTAAAGTGGAGAGTAAGGGTCACCTGGGTGGCTTAGTCAGTTAAGTGTCCGACTTGATTTCTGCTCAGGTCAGGATCTCACAGTTTTGAAATCAAGCCCTGTGTCAGGCTCCACCCTGAGCATGGAGTCTGCTTATGATTCTCTCTTGCTTTCTCCCTTTACCCCTTTCCCGTGCACGTGTGCTCTCTTTTAAAAATATATATAAAAGGGTGCCCTGGTGGCTCAGTTAAACGTCCGACTTTGGATTGGGTCATGATCTCACAGTTCATGGGTTCAAGCCCCAGGTCGTCTCTGCTGACAGCTCAGAGCCTGGAGCCTGCGTCAAATTCTGTGTCTTCCTCTGTCTCTGCCTCTCCCCCCCGTGCTCTGTCTCTCAAAAATGAATAAACTTTAAGAAAAACTGTTAAAATACAAAAAAAAAATAAAGTTGGTAGTAGGACTTAGTAGCCGTAAATGATGTCAACTGCATCTGTTCTTTATAGGGTCGATAGTTATTCAGATTTGAATGCTTTTCTTATTTCTTTTTTTTAATTTTTTAACGTCTTATTTATTTCTGAGAGAGAGAGACAGCATGAACAGGGGAGGGTCAGAGAGAGGGAGACACAGAATCTGAAACAGTCTCCAGGCTCTGAACTAGCTGTCAGCACAGAGCTTGATGCAGGGCTTGAACCCACGAACCATGAGATCGTGACCTGAGCCGAAGTCGGACAACGCCTAACCAACTGAGCCTCCCAGGCGCCCCTCGAATGCTTTTCTTAACCTTAAGATGTATGTGGTAATTTGAATACTTGTATGCTGTAAATTTAAGGTATCTTGTTCAGAGGCGCCTGGATGGCTCAGGTCAGTTAAGCGTCGAACCCTTGATACTAGGGTTGCTAGTTCAAGCTCCACGTT